GGTTTTCAGCATGAGGCAGGAGCTGCTGCCCCCCAAAATTAGCCAGCTGTCCTCTCTTTTTCCCACCTATCAGACAAGTACCGGAGGGGTTGCAATCGGAAAGCAAAGTCTTCACTTGAGGGTTCTCCATCAGAAATACTCTGTCTTCCCACTACTTCTGGCAGAAAAGAAAATGAGAGACTATTAAATTCGTCGCTGCAATCCGAAATAACATTAGACGTGAGTCTGATTGTTTCTGAAGTCTATGTAAGATGCAAAACTCTGATCTTGGGAAATACCCAAGAGCCAAGACCATCGAAGTGTTGGGTGGGGGAACATTCGTCCCCAAAGTCTTTCTAAGGCAACCATGATGGGATGAAGAGCTGCTTGGGACTCCTCTGGGGCTCTGTGATCCTCTCGCACCCATCAGCTCTGAGGGAGGAGACTGAGAGGGGGAAGGAGCCAGGTACAGAAGCTGGAGCTGGGGTTACCTTGGGGCAATGTCTGAGAAGGACTGGAAAGGAGGGAGGAAAGGAATGGGAGGATGGAAAAACAAAGGGTGGCGGGGGGAAGGGGGCTGCCCAGGAAAAAGTTCCCTGGAGATGATGAGGGAGGGAGGGAGGGAGGGAGGGAGGGAGGGAGAGAGAGAGGGAGAGAGAGAGAGAGAGAGAGAGAGAGAGAGAGAGAGAGAGAGAGATTTGTCCTTCCTCAAGCAGAGAATTTAAAATGAGCGGATGGGTGGAGGGTGGGAGGGAGGGAGGGATGGACGGACGGACATATATTGATAGATAGAAATAGCTATAGATTACATAGATAGATGAGAGATACATAAATGATAGGATGGATGGATAGATAGATAGATAGATAGATAGATAGATAGATAGATAGATAGATAGATAGATATAGGTGGGTGGGTGGGTGAATGGATGGATGGATATCCTGTTTTTCCAAAAATGAGACCTATCCCAAAAATAAGACCTAGCATGGTTTTTTTATTCATGTACCTAATATAAGCCCTACCCACCAAAATAAGCCCTATTTAAGAGCCTGCACAGCCGCCCACCTGCCCATTCCTTCTTGTTGCTTGCCGCAGCCATGAGGCGAGGTGGGAGGGTGGTGGAGCTGTCCCAGGGCCCCCACAGCCAGGCCATCCAGCAGAGGAGGCTGAGTGGTGTGGTGGTGCCGCGGCCGTGAGACGAGGCAGGTGTCAGGGTGTGGCTGGCCTGTATGTGGGGGTCTTAGGGTAAGCCGGTGCAGGACATGTGGGGGCAGCTCCATTTCTTCACCTCACCTTGTGGCTTTGACACCGGCCCATTGCTCGGCCTCCTGTTCCATTGCAGCCGCAAGCAAGCAAAATAAGTGGCCCAGCGTTGCATGGGGGTCCTGCTTGACGGGGCTGCTCTAGTCACTGCCACAAGGTGGCCCAGCTGCAGGGACCCTGAGGTAAACTGGTGTGGGGTGTATGGGACAGCTCTACCCCCCTGCCTTGTGGCAGTGGCACTAGCACAATGTGTGATCTCCTGCCCCACCACAAGCAGAAATAGGTTTCTCATAAATGGAAAAAAAAAGTAAGTTATCTCCTGAAAATAAGCACTAATACTTATGTTGGGGCCCAAAAGAAAATAAGACCTGGTTTTATTTTCAGGGAAACACAAATGGATAGATAGATAGATGCGATAGATAGATAGATAGATGTGATAGATAGATAGATAGATGCGATAGATAGATAGATAGATAGATAGATAGATAGATAGATAGATAGATAGATAGATAGATAGATAGATAGATGATAGATAGATAATCATGTTTCCCCGAAAATAAGACCCTGTCTTATATTTTTTTGAACCCTGAAATAAGCGCTTGGCCTTATTGCCATGTGCTGAAAAGCCCGACTGGGCTTATTATCAGAGGATGTCTTATTTTGGGGAAAACAGAGTAGATAGGAAGGAAGGAAGGAAGGAAGGAAGGAAGGAAGGAAGGAAGGAAGGTTGGTTGAGGGAGAAATGAGGACCGGCACACACCCACATACCCCAGGAGCTGTTTCTTTCAAGCCTCTTTGGCTGTCAGTGTTGTGGTGGGAATAACAGAGCTCATAAGGACTATTGCCTTGAGCAGGGGGTTGGACTAGAAAACCTCCAAGGTCCCTTCCAGCCCTATGATTCTATGATTCTAAGTGGAGAAGGGGGAAAAACATTGCTAGGACAAAGTATAGTTTTGATGTCTTCATTTTTCTCTCTTTGCAGGACAGGACATCCGATGGAGGGTGGAGTTCCCAGAGAGCTGTGGAAGACTCTGGGTCAACCTTGCGCAGGCGAGAAGGGAAGCAGCAGCCGCTCCGAAGGTCGATGTCCTGGGCTGGGGAGTTGGAGGCCCTGGACAAAGCAGGAGCAACAGAATCAGAAGAGAGTTGGCTGTTGGGGCCCAAAGCAGAGAGATCTTCCGAAAGTCACTCAGCTCCAGCTCGCTGGTTCCTAAAGGAAGAGGGCTACTAACTTCAAGCAGCCTCAGGGGTCCTGGCTGCCACCACCAGGGAGGCTCTGCCATCAGCACCGGGGCATTTCCCCTCCACTTACATCTCGGGAAGAGCATCATCAGAAGCAGCAGCAGGAGAACAAGGATGGTCCCACCTGGAAGTAGCCGATTTCTGGCTAAAGGAGGAGAAACACCTTTCTGATTAGACTGGAGGCTGCTGTCCAGGACTTCTTGTACAGATGCTGAGTCCCCTTCTAAAGAGGCACTGAGCAGAGGAAGCATCCCCCCACTTGCTGGCCCTCCATGCTGGGACTTCATTTGGAGGACATTCTGGCCATCCAGGCCCATACTTGGATAAATGAATTATTTTGGTTGATAAAAATTACTGAGTGACAACCAGAGGTGGGTTTCAGCAGGTTTCAGCAGGTTCTGACCAGTTCTGGAGAACCGGTAGTGAAAATTTTGAGTAGTTTGGAGAACTAGGGTTGCCAGGTCTGCTTCCAAAAAATAGTGGACAAGCGGGGTGGGGGTGGGGGGGTTAAGTAGTAAAAAAATAAAAAAATTTTTTTACAGTTAAATTATATATTTTCTTAGAAACATTTTAACACATATTAAAATAATCACTTCAAAACTTTACTTAAAATTCAAAACATCAAATATATTATAATAATATGTAAAATATTAAATTACGTTTTACTTTGCTGTCGTGTGTATTTTTTATTTGACTGCGCAGCTTTGATCAATTCTTTGTGTTTAAGGAATAATTCTTTAATTTCAGTACAACGTTGAGAAATATTAAAAAATATACAAAGTTCACTTCGAACTGATGGTACAAGCAGTCGGTTACATTGGTCAGTCCACAAATTTTCCATGACGCTGAAAATTCGTTCAACGTTTGCATTTGATACCGGAATTGATGCACAATACTGGAACAGTTTCAGTAAACTCGGAGCTGGCTCTTTCTTGAAAAAGTACGTCCACTTATCAAGGGATGAATCGCCCTGCAGATGAACATAAACTTCTTCTAAGGCAGAAATTTCATCGAAGAGAGTGTTGGGTGGAAGTTCTTCTCGCCATGGTGATAATAACCAGGTGTTCGTCATTTCTTCTAAAGTTGGAGGATTATTGCGATCAAGCAGATTGAAACAACTTAGCGTCTCATATACTGAATCGGTGAAATTATACCACTTTTCTAGGTACGCAGTGGCTCTGATACACGTTGATGGCTTCTTTCTTGAACTTTTGCACGGCATTCTCAGGCAAATGTTTTTTACGTAAGGCAAATAAAACTTTCATTCCAAAAAACTGCTCATTGTATTTTTTTTGCAAAGAATCACGCAGCTTACACATGATAATGTGAGGATCACATGCAAGAATTTTCTTGCTTTCCAGCTTCAGTAGGGTGTCTTGCATTATTGACATGAAGAAGTGCATGAAATATAAATACAATTCTGAAATTGTTGGTTCATCGTCCTTTGCGAGTTCATTTTCCTGATCCAGATAACCTTATGGCACTCATCAGATCCAAGAGAAATAAAATACGATTTTAGAGGTATCCAGTTTAAAAGAAGTCTTTCGACCGCTTTAAACAAACTTAACCAACGTGTTGGAACATGGCGCAAAACTTCATGGAATTCTGACTCGCAAAACTCAAAAAATTGTTTTCAACTCTTCTCGTTTCTTCGCAGAATTCGAAAATTCGGCAAAAACCTTCAGCACTACATTTTCGATATCAAAAGATAACTGCTTTAATGCATTTTTTGCGCTGTTGTGTAAAATGTGATTATTGCAATGAGCATTCGATCTTTCTCTCATTCTAACTTATGAAAAAAAAGACAAAATGCAATTCTCCTATCCTTATTCTCTTAGCCTGTACAGCTTTAGATTACGTACCATTTCATCATAAAGCTTTTGAATAAAAAAAAATGTCCACTATTTTGTGAAAAAAAATAGTGAAACATAATGTGAAAAAAGCGGACTGTCCGCTCAAATAGTGGACACCTGGCAACCCTATACAACCTCTTCGGCTGAAGAGGTTGTAGGGGGGAAAAAAACGCCTTTAAAAGCCTCTGACGATCCCAGCTGATCGTCAGAGGCTTCTAAAAGCATTTTTTTCTGCAACTTCTTAAGGTTGAGGAAAAAAATTTTTTAAAAGTAAAAAAAAAAAAAAGTTGGCCACCCCTACCCAGTCATATTACCCCCCCCACCAAACCACGCCCACAGAACCGGTAGTAAACCCACTAAATTCATAATTTTAAATCCTGTGGTCCCTGAGGTCCACGAAAGGTTGGGGACATGGGCCCAGATGAGAAGCTGCCTCAGGGAATGGCACAACTTTCGCAACCCTGGAAGCTGCATCACAGCCAGAAGGCGCCACCCTCCGGGGGAGCTTTCGGGTGGGAGGGGGCGTGGGGGGGGGGAGCTGACTGCAGGATTTGCCCGGATAAGAATGGGGGGGGAGGGGGAGGAGGGGGAGGGGGAGGAGGAGGAGGGAGAGGAGGGGGGGGAGGGGGAGGCGGGCAGAGCTCTGAACGTTCTTTCACTTTCACTCCTGGCTCAGAAACACGAACGGAAGAAACTCCAGAACTTTTAAGGGAAGTTCGGTGAAGGACGAGGGAAGGGAGCCGTTTCGGAGGGGGGGGGGAGGGCAGACAACTCCGGGACAGCGCCCCCATTGCAAGACCCCCCCCCCATTAAGGCTGGCGCTTAAACGCTGAGGATCGGTCGAATTAGGTTCCCTTGTGGGTCCCGCCTCGATTCATTTCCTGCCGAAGGTTACCAGCCGGCCTCGTAACGTCGGAAGGCAGCAAAGAGGGGAGCAAAGAAGCGGGGAAGGCCCGGCAGGTGAGGAGGGGAAGGATGTGATTTGATGTGATTTGATTTGATTCCAGGCGGCTCTTGCTTAACCGGGCAACCCAGCGCCTCCCTCGCGTGTTGGAGTCCAACTCCCATCATCCCCAGGCCGCAGGGGAAGATGGGGATTGTAGCCTCCCCCACCCCCCACCCCTAACCCAAGGGGGCAGGAGGGTCTCTCTCTTGGGTAACCAGAGGCGCTGAGCTGAGCGGCTCTTCCACAAAGGCCGTTCCCACGACGCCTGGCCCTCCAACTAAGGGGTTGGACTAGAAGACCTCTAAAGTCCTTTCCAATCTTATTATTCTGTGCGCGCTCGGGGGCTGGGCAGATTTTTTATGCCCCGAAACCTCCTTTGGCTCCGTCTCCTTCCCTTTCCTGGCTCTCCTATCAGTCTGAAACAAATACATGTTTTAGTCTCGCTGTAGACTTTTTGCATGGTTTTATACTGCCAACTGAAAGTCTACCAGAGGGCATCTAGTCCCTCCTCTAAAGGAGAATATTTCTAGATCAGGGTCCTTGGTGGCTCTCTGAGCTTGGTGGTTTTCTTTGATTTTCAAATTTTATTCTTTTTTTATTGAAACGTAAGAAACAGAGGATCAGTCAAATTAGGTTCCGTTTTGGGTCCCGCCTCGATTCATTTCCTGCCGAAGGTTACCAGCCGGCCTCGTAACGTCGGAAGGCAGCAAAGAGGGGAGAAAAGAAGCGGGGAAGGCCCGGCAGGTGAGGAGGGGAAGGATTTGATTTGATTAAATTAACGTGGATTTAAAGAACGGCCGATTCCAGACGGCTCTTGCTTAACCGGGCAACCCAGCGCCTTCCTCGGGTGTTGGAGTCCAACTCCCATCATCCCCAGGCCGCAGGGGAAGATGGGGATGGTAGCCTCCCCCACCCCCCACCCCTAACCCAAGGGGGCAAAGGGGTCTCTCTCTTGGGTAACCAGAAGTGCTGAGCTGACCCGCTCTTCCACAAAGGACTTTTCGTCGGGCCCTGAAAACTTACTTATTTCACCTAGCTGGGCTGGCTTGACCCCATCCGTTTTGGTTAATTTGAAATTGATTTTAATTGGGTTGTTTTAAATTGTGGTCAAAAATATTTAATTACCTTTTAAACTGTTTTTAAATTTTGTATGTTCTGTTTTATCTTGGCTGTTCACCGCCCTGAGTCCTGCAGGAGGAGGGCGGTATACAAATTAAATAAAATACTAAAAATACTAAATACTAAAAGGCCGTTCCCACGACACCTGGCCCACCAGCTAAGGGGTTGGACTAGAAGACCTCTAAGGTCCTTTCCAATTTTATTATTCTGTGCGCGCTCAGGGGCTGGGCAGATTTTTTTGCCCCGAAACCTCCTTTGGCTCCGTCTCCTTCCCTTTCCTGGCTCTCTAAGTGGTCTCCTTTCCTTTTCCCCCAAAAGGAAGCTTCGGCGAGGGGAGCCGGCAGATGACGACCGCGCCACTTTCCCTTTCCAGCGCTCAGCCCCTCCAGCGCCCTTTACAGACTTTCTCCTTCGCCGCCAAGCTGATCGGGGCTGCCTTTCGGCATCCGGGTCCAGATGGGGCTCCCGGTGGCGGCCTTGGGGCTTCTGTCCGCGGCGGCCGTCGTGGTGTTGCGAGGAGGATGCGGGGAAGGATGCGCAGGTGAGTGGCCGGAGGGGGGGAAGCTAAGGAGACCTGAGGCGGGCAACTTGGTTTTCCTGTGGCAGCGAGTTCCAAAAGCTTCGCCTGGTTGGCATCCTATCAATCTGAAACAAATACATGTTTTAGTCTCGCTGTAGACTTTCTGCATGAGTTTATACTGCCAGCTGAAAGTCTACCAGAGGGCATCTAGTCCCTCCTCTAAAGGAGAATATTTCTAGATCAGGGTTGAAACGAGAGGTCCTTGGTGGCTCTCTGAGCCTGGTGGTTTTCTTTGATTTTCAAATTTTATTCTTTTTTTATTGAAACAAAGGAAACAAAGGAAAATAAAAAAGGAATGGAAAACTGGGGGGAGGAAAAAGAGAAAATGTGGATTGGGAAGGGAAAAAGGAAAAAAAAGTCATTGACTTCCAACTTTCTTTGGCACAATAGAGGAGAATAACATTATAACCTCAACTTTTTACTTTTGTACAATAGTATATACTAGCCATTTCTACAACAGCTAATTTTGTCTAATCAACAAAAACAACATCAATATTTCATTTCCCCCCCATCACAAGCACAGAGTCTGGAAGCAATTTTCAAACGAACAAAATTAAATATATTCTCTTCTTTGGATAAAAGAATCAATTTAACAGTTTTTCCTTGCTGTGGGAAATAATATATATTTCTGTTTGCTCATTAATATTTATACACCATCATAGTGTACGGTAGATTAATAAAATTCAGTATATTCCTTCACATTTTTTAACCCTAAATGACAAAAAACTTTTTTTAAATTTTAAAATGTTAAACTTTTCTTTAAAACATTTCTAAAACCAATAAGTTCTAACACAGATTTTTTTTAATTTTGCTCTTTTTAAACTTCCTCTTACATGCATATATTAAAATTCACTTTCACTAATGCTTTACAAATTTTAAGGATTACTCAAACTTCCTATATAAAGGAGAAAAAAATTCACTTTCAAACCCACTTCATAAACCCAGAATCCAAAAACACAAAATTACATTAAAACTTTCTTTCAAGTATATATATGTGTACACACACACACACACACACATATATATCACACCAATAAAAATCCAACTAACTACAATTAACTCATTAAATTTAAACCTCTCCCTACAGTTTATACTCATGTAATAAGTTCTTTTTCTTCTCTTTAAAAATATTAACCATTCATATTTTTGAATTTGATTTCAATACCTTGCAAACTTTTGGAGTTATTTAAACATTATATACTGTAAAAAGACGAGAAAACAATTTTATAACACAATGCTACATTAAAACTTTCTTTCAATACATATGCCAGACTTGTAAAGATCCATCCTAACTCGGATTAACTCACTGAATTTAAGTCACTATCTCCATCTTATCCTTATAGGATAAAATACTTTTTTTTCCCCCAGGAATGTCGTTCAAGTCCCATTTCCCTAGGAAATTCTTGTTAATATATTTTTAAAAATCCTAAAATTGTTTTATTAAAAACTCAAAGCTCTTCCACATAAAATAAAGTTTTTGTCAGGGTTCCAAGTAACATACCTGTAGCAAACAAAACTCCAAGGCAGGTAGATTCCTTAAAGAATAAGTTTTTTTTTATTGCAAAAGTTTTACAATTACATTTTCACCCCTTTTTTCACCCCCCCACCTCCCTCCCCAAACTTCCCGTCCTCCCTAACCCTCCCTAACCCTCCCCCCCCAGACTTCCCTATTATGTACTCATAACTAATAACACTGATATATATACCTGAACCCATCCCTCCCCCTATATAATTTTCCCTCTTTATCTCTTCACATTAAGATATTTCTAATACATTGTTTTCAAATAAAAGCTATTTGGTACTTTCTAGTTTGGTATTTGTTCTGAACATATTCTATCCACCTTTTCCATTCCCATTCATAAGTCTCTTGTGAACAATCTTTTAAATATGCTGAAATCTTCGCCATCTCTGCAAAACTGGCCATCTTCAAAGTCCATTCCTCGATAGTAGGCAAAGCTTCATTCTTCCAATATTTACCTATCAACAATCTTGCTGCTGTTATCATATACAATATTAATTTTGTTTCACCCCGTGTGAAACCCTTAACTATACCCAATAAAAACAATTGTGGAGAAAATTGAATTTTTTTCTTCAAAACATTCTGCATGACCCACCATATTTTTATCCAAAAAGCCTTAACTTTCCTACAGGTCCACCAAACATGATAATACGTAGCATCCAAACATTCGCATCTCCAACATTTTGGCTGAACATTAGGGTACATACATGACAACTTTTTAGGATCTAAATGCCATCTATAAAACATTTTATAAAAATTTTCCCTCAAATTCTGCGACTGTGTAAATTTAACATTCTGAACCCAAATTTTTTCCCATGTTTCCAACATCACTGGTTCTTCAAAATTTTGTGCCCACTTAATCATGCAATCTTTAACTAATTCCGTTTCTGAATCCCTTTCTAGCAAAACATTATAAAGCCTTTTAATATGCATTGGACCTTTCTCTCTTATATGTCTAACCAATTCTTCCTCATGCAACATAATACCAGTTTTTTGGTCCTCTTTCCATCTCAATTGTAATTGATTATATTGTAACCAGGTTAAATTAATCCCTTCGTCCAACAGTGTCTGCAATGTCTTCAGCTGCCATCTGCCCGCATCTGTAAAAAGAACCTCTTTGTATAAACCCCCCCGAGTGACATTATATTTGTATTCCACAAGGTATGACCAAGATCCAGCCATAGCGGTATTTTATAATCCCATTTGAGTCGGTGCTTCTTCCAAACTCTCATCAAAGAGTCTCTAAGTATATGACTTTTAAATACTTTATCAACTTTGTCATCATAAAATAGGTAAGCATGCCATCCAAATTCAAGATCAAAACTTTCTGCATTCAATATTCCAGCCTTTTTACTTCCAAACCAATCACTTGTTAAAGTTAAAGCTGCTGCATCATAATATAACTGTAGGTTTGGAAGTTTAAGGCCTCCTCTTTCTGGAACATCTTGCATAATTTTCAATTTCACTCTCGGCTTTTTCTCGTTCCAGACAAACTTATTAAGTCCAGTTTGCCAAACTTTCAGTTGTTTATCACTTTTAAGCACCGGAATCATTTGAAACAAAAACAGAAATCTTGGCAAAATGTTCATCTTAACTGCTGCTATTCTTCCAAGTAAAGACAGTTGCAGCTTTTTCCAAGTCTCCATGTCTTTCTGAACCTCTCGCCACAACACCTCATAGTTATTTTGAAACAATTTCATGTTTGATTCTGCAACCTGAACTCCAAGATATTTTACCTTAGGTACAATTTCAAAACCTGCCCTCCTTTCAAACTCATGTTTACGATCTTGTGTCATATTTTTGACTATCATTTTAGTCTTTTTTGAATTCACTCTAAAACCTGAAACTCTACCATAGTCTTGTATAATGTCGTTCATCAGGATTGTTGATTCCATTGGTTGTGATAGGGTAACCACCAGATCATCTGCAAATGCCTTTATTCTATAATCCTCTTGCCTTATCATTATGCCTTTCAAAATTTTTGAGTCCCGTATTGTATTTAGCAAGACTTCCAATGTTAAAATAAATAAAAGTGGGGACAACGGACATCCCTGTCTTGTTCCTTTTTCAATTTTAAACTCTGTCGTCAAACTTCCATTAATAATAATCTGTGCTTTTTGCTCTTGATAAATTGCTGAGATCGCCTGTATAAATTGGTCCCCAAAGCCCATCTTTTTTAAAGTCTTTAATAGAAAATTCCAATCCACTCTATCAAAGGCCTTCTCCGCATCCAAAAAAACCAGCACTGCAGAAATCTGTTTATTCTTGTCAAGATATTCCAATAAGTCTATTACTTGCCTTACATTGTCCTTCATATATCTGCCCTCAATAAATCCCGCTTGGTCCGCATGAATCACCTTTTGGATTACTGGCATCAACCTGTTGGCTAATACCTTCGCATAAACAAAACTCCAAGGCAGATAGATTCCTTAAAGAATAAGTTTTATTGAGTATGTCATATTGGGTTTCGGACTGTTAGCCTCCTGTCCTTGGCCGCACCTGCTTCTCCGCCAGGCTTCTGCCTCGGGGGATTCTCCTCTAGCTTTTCTCCTCAGCTGACACACCCCAGCCCATTCGCCCCAGCCAGTTGCCAGGGCCCCTCCGTCCCACATGGTTCGGCATGGCTTTTTGCCTCCCTGGATGGTTAGCCGCCAGCCAATTGGTTAGTTGCCAATGCTGGCAGCCAGAAGCGCAGGCGTGGGGGTGGGTGTTGGGGGAGTTGCTGCTCAGGTGCTAGGAAGAGGAGGGGTGGAAGAGCGGGGGTGGGGGTGCAGATAGTAAGCCGGCTTCACCCAAAGGAGTTTTTGTTTCAGGTGGGTATCCTACCCTTAGAAAGAGAGAGGGAAGGAGGAAGGGAAGGGAGAAAGAGAGAGAGAGAGAGGAGACAAGAGAGAGAGAGAGAGAAAGAAAGAAAGAAAGAAAGAAAGAAAAGAAAGAAAGAAAGAAAAAAAAAGAAAGAAAGAAAGAAAGAGAGAGAAAGAGAGAAAGAAAGAAAGAAAGAAAGAAAGAAAGAAAGAGAAAGGAGAAGGAAGGAAGGGGAAGGGTGGAAGAGAAGAGCAGGGGTGGGGGTGCAGATAGTAAGCCGGCTTCACCCAAAGGAGTTTTTGTTTCAGGTGGGTATCCTAGCCTTAGAAAGAGAGAGGGAAGGAGGAAGGGAAGGGAGAAAGAGTGAGAGAGAGAGAAGACAAGAAAGAAAGAGAGAGAGAGAAAAAAAAGAAAGAGAAAGAAAGAAAGAAAGAAGAAAGAGAAAGAAAGAAAAAGAAAGAAAGAAAAAGAGAAAGGAGAAGGAAGGGGAGGGATGGGATGGAAGGGAAGAGCGGGGGTGTGTGTGCAGATAGTAAGCCGGCTTCATCCAAAGGAGTTTTTGTTTCAGGTGTGTATCCTAGCCTTAGAAAGAGAGAGGGAAGGAGGAAGGGAAGGGAGAAAGAGAGAGAGAGAGAGGAGACAAGAGAGAGAGAGAAAGAAAGAAAGAAAGAAAGAAAGAAGAAAGAAAGAAAGAAAGAAAGAAAGAAAGAAAGAAAGAAAGAAAGAAAGAGAAAGGAGAAGGAAGGAAGCGGAAGGGTGGAAGGGAAGAGCAGGGGTGGGGGTGCAGATAGTAAGCCGGCTTCACCCAAAGGAGTTTTTGTTTCAGGTGGGTATCCTAGCCTTAGAAAGAGAGAGGGAAGGAGGAAGGGAAGGGAGAAAGAGAGAGAGAGAGAGAGGAGACAAGAAAGAAAGAGAGAGAGAGGAAGGAAGGAAGGAAGGAAGGAAGGAAGTGTTAAGGATATTGTTGTTGTGTTACCATCCAGCAGAGTAAATGCACAAGGAAACGTTGCTGAGAGCAATGAATAAACACAACACCAATATCCTTAACAGGAAGGAAGGAAGGAAGGCTGGGCGCCTGAGCAGCAACTCCCCCACCCCCATCCCTGTCTTCTGGCTCCAGTGTTTCAGCACTAAAGACTCAAAATGGCCTCAGTTAGGCCAGCTTCAGGATTGACAGTTTTCTTCTTCTCTGGGATGTCTATCAGACCTCTTTTTCTCAGAGAAACCTCAACCTTGTTAGTATCCATGAAGAAAAAGTCCCAAATGTCACAGGAAGCCCTGAGCTCGGTTGTTTTCTTGTAGATATTTCAGTACCCAAAACAGGTACCATCACCAGTGCTAGTAGGGAGCGAGGACCTGTACTACAGCCTAGGACAGTGATGGCTAACCTTTTTGCCATCGCGTGCCAGGAGCGGGCTTACCTGGCCTCCAGATCCTCTTTATGCATCTGTGGAGGGCGAAAACAGCCTTTCCCATGCCCTAGGAGTCTCTGGAGGCTGAGTATAGCAAAAACGTCACTTCCTGTCCCACCGGGAGTTTGGAAATGGGCCCTTTCAGGCCTCCGGAGGGCCTCCGAGGGAGTGGGAAAGGCTGTTTTCGCCCTCCGCAGATGCATAGAGAGGATCTGGAGCCAGGTAAGAAAGAAAAACAGGCCTTCCCCACCACCTCCAGGCCGTCCAGAGGCAGGAAACAGCCTGTTTCCCTACTTCTGGTGGGCCCAGAAGGCCCGAAAATCAGCTGGCCGGCGCAAACATGCACGCCAGAGCTGAGCTGGCGTGGCCACTGATATGGCTACACATGCCACCTGTGGCACGCGTGCCATAGGTTCGCCATCACGGGCCTAGGAGAACATAATGATGAACAGCAGCTAGCTAGGAGTTTGCAGACATGATGAAAACTCTTTAATGTCACAATGTGTGGACAGACTTGACCATAATTTCAACTGGGAAACTATGACCATCCAAGACCAAGCCAACTCCAGAAGTGCTAGAGAATTTCTGGAAGCTTGGCACTCTGTCAAATTAGTCATCAATAGACACATAGACATAAACAATGTGTACGTCCTACCTATGCAAAAGAGGCAATCAACAAGTTAAAAAGGGAAGAAGAAGACTAAAGCACCTCCCCACCACCAATCAGCACCCAGACAAGTGTAAATTGACACCAAGATTAACTGTAGACTGACAATCAAAAAGTAAACAATAATCCAATCAAGGAACTGCCAAAGAAGCCAACAGTTCGAGCCGAACCAAAGAACTTCAAGGCCACTCCTACCGACACTGACACGCAAGCCACTAAGAATATAAATTGAGAATAAACCCCACTCCTTACTACCGTGTTTCCCCCGAAAATAAGATCCGGTCTTATTTTCTTTTGCGCCCCAAAATGCGTTAAATACCAAATTCGATGAGTTTCAAAACAGTTGAGTACCAAGGTACCACTGCACCTGTCAGTGTTTTACGACACCAGGCACGTCACCAGAAGGCAAATTCACAAAACAGATTTTTTTATTTTTGTCCTGATATTCCTCGTTTGTTTAGTACTCAAGGCATAAACTAGAACTTGGCGAGGTCGGCTGTCTTGTGACTCGCTACATTATTGCTTATGGGAAAAATGTGTTTGGTACTCATCATTTTTCGTCTTACGTATTTTGGTCGTGTCACACTGGGGAATTCGCTGGAGAAAGCAATTGTGTTTGGAAGAGTTAGCGGTTAAAGGAAACCAAGAACATGATGGCTGGTCACCATCAAAGCGGAGACCAACCAAAGCATAGAACAACTTGAAGAAGTAGGGCAAGAACGGAAGATGTAGAGAATACCGTCCTGTAGAATCACCAAGAGTCAGACAAGACTAAATGGATCATCATAGATTAGTCTCTAGTGACTACACTTGTGTTACATGGACTAATTGGTTGGACTATTATCCCAGAGGATCACAGTTTGCTATGTGTTACAGGAGATTTTCCTTCCCACTGGCTGTCTCACTGACTATTTGCCACCAAAGGGCAGAAGTAAAAAAAAAAGGGGGGAAAAAAAGCCAAAATTCTGTGCTGTATTTGCGTGTTTGAATATTTACACTGAACTTTAACACACTTTGGAAAGTTTGCATATAAATGGGACGTTGAGAAAAGAACAGGGTCTTTTTATAATATTTAAACTTGAGACTCTCCCCACTCCCTCATATATTTTTTATGTTTGCAAACATGTAAGTATCTTTGAGCCATGGGGAGAAAACCCTGTAAGGGTAGAGATACTAAAGAAAATAAAATAAGAAAAACATCACCTTAGCTGAAGTTACCATGTTTTCCTGAAAATAAGACCTGATCTTATTTTCTTTTGAGCCCCAAAATAAGCACCAGGTCTTATTTTCGGGGGATGTCTTACCTCCTTACCTTAGGACCACTGCAGCTAGGCCTCCCATGCCCCAACCCCTATCATGCTGCTCTCTGACTTCTGAGGCCACTTGCAGCCAGATGCAGTGTGGCGCATCACACCGGTCCCGCCGCTCGCAGCAGGAGGCCCTGAGGCGTATTGTGTTGTGAGCATGAGCGGTGGCACTGGTGTGATGTGCCGTGTGGCCTCCTGCCATGAGTGGTGGCACTGGCACAATGGGGTACCAGCATGCCATGCCATGCAGTCTCCTGCCGCAAGCGGCGGCACTGGCATGATACGCCACACAACGTCCTGCCACGAGTGGCGACATTGGCGTGACACACCATGTGGCATCTGGTCGCAAGCGGCCACAGAAAAAGTCAGCCAGTGGTTCCATAGGTGTCTGGGCATGGGAGGGCCCTTGCTATGGCAGTCCTAAGGTAAGCGGGCGTGGGGCGCGTGAGGCAGCTCCGCCCCCATCTCCGCCCTAGCTTGATTTTCACGCATGTGACACACCCCACCTTGTACAATCAGACGGTGGGACTGAGTAGTCAGGGCTTAACTGGGGCTGATTTTTGGGGTACAGGCATGAAAATTGGGTGAGGGATTGTTTTCAGGGTATTTTGGGGGAAACATGGTATTGACACCTAAAGGACTTAGGCTGGTATTAAACAAATATTATTTTGGTTTTATCCTCTAAGTAAAGGCAAATGCGTCTCTGTGTTATCACTACCTGGAAGTGTCAGAGCCCAGCCCGGAGCAGCCACAGTTCTCCATTAGGATCTACCTGGATGACCAGCCCATCGCTCACTTTGACAGCCTCACCAGGAAGATGAAGCCCCGGGTGCCCTCGATGAAGGAGGTGGAGAAGGAGAAGTTTCTGCCCCCTGAGTGGGTCTTTAGAGCTGACCTGCAGGAGTTATCAGAATTGGACCCCCTTGCTGGAGGTGAGCAAAGGCACTGCCACCTTGATGCCCAGGTTAGATGTTATTTCCTGCAAAGATATGATCCCCCCACCCACCCTGCACCCCCAGATTTTTCCCCCTCACCTAGAAATTCTTCACACTCTGCTCCTGCCCCCAAAGGATTAATTGCACTCTGATCACTAAAAGACTTTTCTGTTTGTGGGAGAAAAAGAGGGGGAGAGATTGGGATTCCCATCCCTAGTGGGAGGGGAGCAAAACTCCCTCCTAGTGGCCCTTCTAGAGGGGAGGGTCTCTGAAAAGGGGAATCCTTCTCACCCATTCCTCTCTTTTAGGATTTCACACCTGGCAGGCGATTTTGGGCTGTGAGCTCAGGGAAGATGGGAGCAAAGGACGGTTTTTCCGCTATGGCTATGATGGGATGGACTTCATCAGCTTAAAGAATGAGACCTTCAGCTGGGTGGCAGCTCAGACCCAGGCCGGGAAGTTCAAGGTCGAGTGGGAGAAAGATTCACAGTGGTTCCATACAAATAAAGACTTCCTGGAGAACACCTGCATTAAGTGGCTGAAGAAATACCTGTCCTGCAGGAAGGAGACTCCGAAGGACACAAGTGAGTGACCAAATGGGCTCCCATTGCGCTTGCAGGCTCCCTCCTCTCTGTCTCCCAATATCATTTCTGCCCTACTTAACCAAGCCACCCTTCAGGCCCTTAGCAAAAAATAAAAAATAAAATCTGGGTGTATCCCACACCAGATTCTAGAAGGACAATGGGGAAAAGAATCGTCTATGCCCGAGATGGCGAACCTATGGCACGTGTGCCACCTGTGAGCCATATCTGTGGGCACGCGAGTGTTGCCCTAGCTCAGCGCCAGCTGATTTTCAGACCTTCTGGGCCCACCGGAAGTCGGGAAACGGGCCGTTTCCAGCCTCCGGAGGGCCTCCAGGGGGATGGGGAAGGCTGTTTTTGCCCTCCCCAGGCTCCAAGAAAGCCTCTGGAGCCTGGGGAGGGCAAAAAACGGGCCTACCGGGCCCACCAGTAACCTTTTTGCCGTCGCGTGCCAAAAGCCGGGGGGAGCGCAGGGGGGGTCGTGCATGCATGCGTGGGCCCGGGGGACATTGAATTATGGGCGTGGGCACACATGCGCGTGACCCTCCTGTTCTCCCCCCGCTTTTGGCACGCGACGGTAAAAAGGTTAGCCATCCCTAGTCTATGCCCTCTGAAATAGGTTTTTCAAAGAGACAAAAGCTAATTAAGCCAGGGATGAAGGCTGAGATCCATTTCCATGAGAAAATCTTGCAAAGCAAAAAGAAACTGCAATTCCTACATCTTCCCGCTGAACCCAAAGAGGACTCTGTCCTGGTTTCCGTTTGGGATGATGTGAACAAATTTAATTGGGGGGGGAGGGCAAAACTGAATCAATCCCCAAGCATTGCCATTATTTTTGTTACAGTGAGAACTTTACCCAAAAGTTCTTTGTATCCCTTTCAAAAATAAATGTAAAGAGCTTCGATGCTCCAACTTTGAGGGGTCCCACAGGGTCAGGAGAAGAGAAGGAGCAGCGGGAGAGGATGACAAGATAAGCTCTTCACTGTTATTCAATTACCTGACCAGAAAATCCCAGGAACTCTGGTGTTGGTGTTTCTGCAGAGCCCCCGGTGGGGACGGTGACCCACAAGGTGGTGAATGACAGCCTGGAGGTCCTCATCTGCTATGCCTCTGGCTTCTACTCCAAGGAGATCCAGGCCAACTGGACGAGGGACGGAAAGGTCTGCCAGAATGAGACCCTCCATAGGAACGTGGTTCCCAACTCAGACGGGACCTATTATGTCTGGCTCAGCATTGAGATCGACCCCAAGGAGAGGGACCGTTTTCAGTGTCACCTAGACCACGAGGGCCTGCAGAAGCCTCTGGTCTTGCCCTTGAAGGAGGAAACAGGTGAGAGGTTGAATGGTTATTACACATAGAATTATGCCACTGGGACCTGTAGCTGGCCAAAACCTCCTGGACTGTAGCAGCTGGCGAGCCCTGTAGCTGCCCAAGGCCTCCTGAGCCTGGGAATAGCCTGAAGCCTCCAGAGCTTTCCCAACCCACACGTTCGACTTCAGGGGGCCCCAAACTATTGGCTGCAGCCAACTACTGGGCCATGGCCTAATCGCCACTGGGCTGCATGAGTGGCCAGCCGGTGCATGGGCGTCTGTGAAACATGCATGCCCCCACTTCTGCGAGCCTCATTGCGGGCGCTGGTGGACCCACTCCTGTGAGCATCGCCCTGAATGTTACAGGCACGTATGCCCGTATGCTTGTGCCTGCCCCTCCCACAGAATCATCCCTCTTTCCTCCCTCCCTGGGCCACCAACCCAGAAAAGTTGGGGAACTACTTAATGATCCGTGTAATTGCTTAATGATTGCAATTGGGAAAGTTGTCTTTGAGTAATGCAGTTATGTGGAAGTCTCATTTAATGACTGCTTTGCTCAATGAGTCTGGTTCCAATCATGTCATAAGTCAAGGGCTGCTATATATGGAAGTAGTAGATATAACCAGGGGTGAAATGCTCCCGGTTCGGACTGGATCACCTGATCCGGTAGCAATGGTGGTGGGTGGTTCAGAGAACCGGTAGCAAAAATGCCTCCCCCGCTCCATTCCCAGCTGAGCCACGTGATCATCAGAGGCTTTTAAAAAAAAAATTTAAAGCATTTTTTCTACAACCTCTTCGGCCGAAAAAATGCTTTTAAAAGTTAAAAAAAAAAAAAGCCTCTGATGATTGCGCGGCTCAGTTGGGAGCGTTAGAAGCTTTTAAAAGCATTTTTTTTCTACAGCTTCTTCGGTCAAAGAGGTTGTAGATAAAATGCTTTTAAAACCTCTGACGATCCCAGCTGAGCCAGGCTCCAGGTTGACTCAGCCTTCCATCCTTCTGAGGTGGGTAAAATGAGGACCCAGATTGTTGGGGGCCATAGGCTGACTCTGTAAACCGATTAGAGAGGGCTGGAAAGCACTGTGGAGTGGTATATAAGTCTTAGTGCTATTGCTATTCCTGGAGGCCAGTGCAGCTTGCAAAATGCTTCCATTGCTCAGCCTCTCGACCTCCGAGATCTCCGCCTCTCTCTAATCACAGCCATGTTTCTCCTTCTTTAACTACAGGGTGGCGGATTCCTGTGGGAATTGTTATAGGAGGCTTAATCCTAGCTGTGATTCTCTTCCTGATATGTAAGTGAAACAAACACATCCACTGACACCCACCCTGGATCTTTTTGTATTGACTGAGCTGGTGTGGATGGAAAAGTCTCTCTGAGAGTTTCAGCCATGACCCCAGCGGTAAAATGCACTTACCTTTGCTACCTGCTTGGAGATGTAATGCACTCGGGCTACGCTCTCATGCGCCTTTTCTGTGCATGGGTGATGTCCAGATGGGGAGCCCAGCGGGATGGCAGCAGTGCCAGGGAAGCATCAGTGACTCGAGCGTCTTTTGCTGCAGTGTTGAGGGGGCAACCACGGCCGGTCGCTCGCTTCGCTGCCGAAGCCCCTCAAGCCAACGTGCGAAGGCCTGCAGCTTGCAGGGAGGGAGATTTGAATCAGTTCAGTTCGGTGAACTGATTCAAATCATCCCTACCGTCTTGGCCGAGGTGGGCTGAGTTGGTCGAATTTCACCCCTGCATGACCCCCACAAGACCTTTCCACACAAACAGCATTTTGACCAAGAGTCAGAAAGAAGAATAAACGATGCACTCATTTTTCCAAGTCCTGCAAATCTCTGAATGTTCTACATTCCTGTTGTCCAGGAAGAAGTCTCTTTGGCCTTAATAGACTTACTTCAGAGGAACAAATATTAGGGACTCGGGATCAAAGAAAAGTCCCATGAATGATCTCGGGGGTCCCAGACAATCCGTAATCCTGCCCCCAAAGAAGATTCATGTGTCATTTCACCTGGCCAGAGAGACCTTCAGGGAATCTGGTGACACCTGGGGGCCATGGAGGGAAGGCCCCACGTCCTTCGCCCCTGCTTGCAATCACACCTGGGGACAGACAACAACAGGGGGGAAGGTCCAGGAGTGGAAGGAGCTGCTACTTGCTCTCTCCCTACTGAGAGCAAAAGTAATGAGAGGGAGGATGGATGGGAGAAGTGTCTCCTCGGTTGAGCTCAACCAAAGGAGGCTCAACACATCCAAGCAATTCTCTCAGCATTAGTGAAGAAGTGCTTTGTCATTTCCTTCTTCCAGGATGGGCCTTTTGACTTGTTTGCAATTTATGTCGCTCCCTTGTCGGTCTCAGGTGCAACTTCTAAGTCAATCAGAGCCAGCTTAGCTTTTCAAGATCAGGCAAGATCTCTGGTTCTTGGAGCTGGCCGGGTTGGGACAGAGTCTTTGGAGTATAAATCAAAACAAATATGGTAAGAGAGGGATTAAGAATTACCAAGTGTGGAATCTATGGGGAAGACCTTCTGTCTTGTACCAAATAACAGGATTCCCAGAGATTTAGCATCATTGCTTATAATTGGTGGTGATTTAATAGAAGGTTTTATTGGGAGAACTTATTTTGTCCATAACAAATAGATGGCAGCACTAATGCAATTTTCTCAAGGTGCTGGGTTAGACTTAGAAGTCTTAGACATCCAGACTTAGAAGTCTTCGAGACTAGAGGTTTTCAGCATGAGGCAGGAGCTGCTGCCCCCCAAAATTAGCCAGCTGTCCTCTCTTTTTCCCACCTATCAGACAAGTACCGGAGGGGTTGCAATCGGAAAGCAAAGTCTTCACTTGAGGGTTCTCCATCAGAAATACTCTGTCTTCCCACTACTTCTAGCAGAAAAGAAAATGAGAGACTATTAAATTCGTCGCTGCAATCCGAAATAACATTAGACGTGAGTCTGATTGTTTCTGAAGTCTATGTAAGATGCAAAACTCTGATCTTGGGAAATACCCAAGAGCCAAGACCATCGAAGTGTTGGGTGGGGGAACATTCGTCCCCAAAGTCTTTCTAAGGCAACCATGATGGGATGAAGAGCTGCTTGGGACTCCTCTGGGGCTCTGTGATCCTCTCGCACCCATCAGCTCTGAGGGAGGAGACTGAGAGGGGGAAGGAGCCAGGTACAGAAGCTGGAGCTGGGGTTACCTTGGGGCAATGTCTGAGAAGGACTGGAAAGGAGGGAGGAAAGGAATGGGAGGATGGAAAAACAAAGGGTGGCGGGGGGAAGGGGGCTGCCCAGGAAAAAGTTCCCTGGAGATGATGAGGGAGGGAGGGAGGGAGGGAGGGAGAGAGAGAGGGAGAGAGAGAGAGAGAGAGAGAGAGAGAGAGAGAGAGAGATTTGTCCTTCCTCAAGCAGAGAATTTAAAATGAGCGGATGGGTGGAGGGTGGGAGGGAGGGAGGGATGGACGGACGGACATATATTGATAGATAGAAATAGCTATAGATTACATAGATAGATGAGAGATACATAAATGATAGGATGGATGGATGGATGGATGGATGGATAGATAGATAGATAGATAGATAGATAGATAGATAGATAGATATAGGTGGGTGGGTGGGTGAATGGATGGATGGATATCCTGTTTTTCCAAAAATGAGACCTATCCCAAAAATAAGACCTAGCATGGTTTTTTTATTCATGTACCTAATATAAGCCCTACCCACCAAAATAAGCCCTACTTAAGAGCCTGCACAGCCGCCCACCTGCCCATTCCTTCTTGTTGCTTGCCGCAGCCATGAGGCGAGGTGGGAGGGTGGTGGAGCTGTCCCAGGGCCCCCACAGCCAGGCCATCCAGCAGAGGAGGCTGAGTGGTGTGGTGGTGCCGCGGCCGTGAGACGAGGCAGGTGTCAGGGTGTGGCTGGCCTGTATGTGGGGGTCTTAGGGTAAGCCGGTGCAGGACATGTGGGGGCAGCTCCATTTCTTCACCTCACCTTGTGGCTTTGACACCGGCCCATTGCTCGGCCTCCTGTTCCATTGCAGCCGCAAGCAAGCAAAATAAGTGGCCCAGCGTTGCATGGGGGTCCTGCTTGATGGGGCTGCTCTAGTCACTGCCACAAGGTGGCCCAGCTGCAGGGACCCTGAGGTAAACTGGTGTGGGGTGTATGGGACAGCTCTACCCCCCTGCCTTGTGGCAGTGGCACTAGCACAATGTGTGATCTCCTGCCCCACCACAAGCAGAAATAGGTTTCTCATAAATGGAAAAAAAAAGTAAGTTATCTCCTGAAAATAAGCACTAATACTTATGTTGGGGCCCAAAAGAAAATAAGACCTGGTTTTATTTTCAGGGAAACACAAATGGATAGATAGATAGATGCGATAGATAGATAGATAGATGCGATAGATAGATAGATAGATAGATAGATAGATAGATAGATAGATAGATAGATAGATAGATAGATAGATAGATAGATGATAGATGATAGATAGATAGATAGATAGATAGATAGATAGATAGATAGATAGATAGATGATAGATAGATAATCATGTTTCCCCGAAAATAAGACCCTGTCTTATATTTTTTTGAACCCTGAAATAAGCGCTTGGCCTTATTGCCATGTGCTCAAAAGTCTGATTGGGCTTATTATCAGAGGATGTCTTATTTTGGGGGAAACAGAGTAGATAGGAAGGAAGGAAGGAAGGAAGGAAGGAAGGAAGGAAGGAAGGAAGGAAGGAAGGAAGGAAGGAAGGAAGGAAGGCTGGTTGAGGGAGAAATGAGGACCGGCACACACCCACATACCCCAGGAGCTGTTTCTTTCAAGCCTCTTTGGCTGTCAGTGTTGTGGTGGGAATAACAGAGCTCATAAGGACTATTGCCTTGAGCAGGGGGTTGGACTAGAAAACCTCCAAGGTTTTGATTTTCATTTTTCTCTCTTTGCAGGACAGGACATCCGATGGAGGGTGGAGTTCCCAGAGAGCTGTGGAAGACTCTGGGTCAACCTTGCGCAGGCGAGAAGGGAAGCAGCAGCCGCTCCGAAGGTCAATGTCCTGGGCTGGGGAGTTGGAGGCCCTGGACAAATCAGGAGCAACAGAATCAGAAGAGAGTTGGCTGTTGGGGCCCAAAGCAGAGAGATCTTCCGAAAGTCACTCAACTCCAGCTCGCTGGTTCCTAAAGGAAGAGGGCTACTAACTTCAAGCAGCCTCAGGGGTCCTGGCTGCCACCACCAGGGAGGCTCTGCCATCAGCACCGGGGCATTTCCCCTCCACTTACATCTCGGGAAGAGCATCATCAGAAGCAGCAGCAGGAGAACAAGGATGGTCCCACCTGGAAGTAGCTGATTTCTGGCTAAAGGAGGAGAAACACCTACCTGATTAGACTGGAGGCTGCTGTCCAGGACTTCTTGTACAGATGCTGAGTCCCCTGCTAAAGAGGCACTGAGCAGAGGAAGCATCCCCCCACTTGCTGGGCCCTCCATGCTGGGACATCATTTGGAGGACATTCTGGCCATTCAGGCCCATAATTTGTTCAGATAAATGAATTATTTTCGTTGATAAAAATTACTGAGTGACAACCAGAGGTGGGTTTCAGCAGGTTTCAGCAGGTTCTGACCAGTTCTGGAGAACCGGTAGTGAAAATTTTGAGTAGTTTGGAGAACTAGGGTTGCCAGGTCTGCTTCCAAAAAATAGTGGACAAGCGGAGTGGGGGGTGGGGGGTTAAGTAGTAAAAAAATTAAAAAAAATTTTTTACAGTTAAATTATATATTTTCTTAGAAACATTTTAACACATATTAAAATAATCACTTCAAAACTTTACTTAAAATTCAAAACATCAAATATATTATAATAATATGTAAAATATTAAATTACGTTTTACTTTGCTGTCGTGTGTATTTTTTATTTGACTGCGCAGCTTTGATCAATTCTTTGTGTTTAAGGAATAATTCTGTAATTTCAGTACAACGTTGAGAAATATTAAAAAATATACAAAGTTCACTTCGAACTGATGGTACAAGCAGTCGGTTACATTGGTCAGTCCACAAATTTTCCATGACGCTGAAAATTCGTTCAGCGTTTGCATTTGATACCGGAATTGATGCACAATACTGGAACAGTTTCAGTAAACTCGGAGCTGGCTCTTTCTTGAAAAAGTACGTCCACTTATCAAGGGATGAATCGCCCTGCAGATGAACATAAAACTTCTTCTAAGGCAGAAATTTCATCGAAGAGAGTGTTGGGTGGAAGTTCTTCTCGCCATGGTGATAATAACCAGATGTTCGTCATTTCTTCTAAAGTTGGAGGATTATTGCGATCAATTAGATTGAAACAACTTAGCGTCTCATATACTGAATCGGTGAAATTATACCACTTTTCTAGGTACGCAGTGGCTCTTTGATACACGTTGATGGCTTCTTTCTTGAACTTTTGCACGGCATTCTCAGGCAAATGTTTTTTACGTAAGGCAAATAAAACTTTCATTCCAAAAAACTGCTCATCGTATTTTTTTTGCAAAGAATCACGCAGTTTACACATGATAATGTGAAGATCACATGCAAGAATTTTCTTGCTTTCCTGCTTCAGTAGGGTGTCTTGCATTATTGACATGAAGAAGTGCGTGAAATATAAATACAGTTCTGAAATTATTGGTTCATCGTCCTTTGCGAGTTCATTTTCCTGATCCGAAATAAGGTTCCAGATAACCTTATGGCACTCATCAGATCCAAGAGAAATAAAATACGATTTTAGAGGTATCCAGTTTAAAAGAAGTCTTTCGACCGCTTTAAACAAACTTAACCAACGTGTTGGAACATGGCGCAAAACTTCATGGAATTCTGACTCGCAAAACTCAAAAAATGATTTCAACTCTTCTCGTTTCTTTGCAGAATTCGAAAATTCGGCAAAAACCTTCAGCACTACATTTTTTATATCAAAAGATAACTGCTTTAATGCATTTTTTGCGCTGTTGTGTAAAATGTGATTATTGCAATGAGCATTCGAGCTTTCTCTCATTCTAACTTATGAAAAAAAAGACAAAACGCGATTCTCCTATCCTTATTCTCTTAGACTGTACAGCTTTAGATTACGTACCATTTCATCATAAAGCTTTTGAATAAAAAAAAATGTCCACTATTTTGTGAAAAAAAATAGTGAACGTAATGTGAAAAAAGCGGACTGTCCGCTCAAATAGTGGACACCTGGCAACCCTATACAACCTCTTTGGCTGAAGAGGTTGTAGGGGGGAAAAAAAACGCCTTTAAAAGCCTCTGACGATCCCAGCTGATGGTCAGAGGCTTCTAAAAGCATTTTTTTCCTGCAATTTCTTCAGGTTGAGGAAAAAAAAAATGTGAAAGTAAAAAAAAAAAAGTTGGCCACCCCCACCCAGTCACATTACCCCCCACCACCACCACCACCACCAAGCCAGGCCCACAGAACCGGTAGTAAACCCACTAAATTCATAATTTTAAATCCTGTGGTCCCTGAGGTCCACGAAAGGCTGGGGGACATGGGCCCAGATGAGAAGCTGCCTCAGGGAATGGCACAACTTTCGCAACCCTGGAAGCTGCATCACAGCCAGAAGCCGCCACCCTCCGGGGGAGCTTTCGGGTGGGAGGGGGCGTGGGGGGGGGGAGCTGACTGCAGGATTTGCCCAGATAAGAATGGGGGGGGGGAGGAAGAGGAGGAGGGGGAGGAGGGGGAGGCGGGCAGAGCTCTGAACGTTCTTTCACTTTCACTCCTGGCTCAGAAACACGAACGGAAGAAACTCCACAACTTTTAAGGGAAGTTCGGGGAAGGACGAGGGAAGGAAGCCGTTTCGGAGGAGGGGGGGGCGAGGCAACCCCGGGACAGCGCCCCCATTGCAAGACCCCCCCCCCATTAAGGCTGGCGCTTAAACGCTGAGGATCGGTCGAATTAGGTTCCCTTGTGGGTCCCGCCTCGATTCATTTCCTGGCGAAGGTTACCAGCCGGCCTCGTAACGTCGGAAGGCAGCAAAGAGGGGAGAAAAGAAGCGGGGAAGGCCCGGCAGGTGAGGAGGGGAAGGATTTGATTTGATTAAATTAACGTGGATTTAAAGAATGGCCGATTCCAGACGGCTCTTGCTTAACCAGGCAATTTAGCGCCTTCCTTGGGTGTTGGAGTCCAACTCCCATCATCCCCAGGCCGCAGGGGAAGATGGGGATTGTAGCCTCCCCCACCCCTAACCCAAGGGGGCAAAGGGGTCTCTCTCTTGGGTAACCAGAGGCGCTGAGCTGACCGGCTCTTCCACAAAGGCCGTTCCCACGACGCCTGGCCCACCAACTAAGGGGTTGGACTAGAAGACCTCTAAGGTCCTTTCCAATTTTATTATTCTGTGCACTCTCGGGGTCTGGGCAGATTTTTTATGCCCCGAAACCTCCTTTGATTCTGTCTCCTTCCCTTTCCTGGCTCTCTAAGTGGTCTCCTTTCCTTTTCCCCCAAAAGGAAGCTTTGGCGAGGGGACCCGGCAGATGACGACCGCGCCACTTTCCCTTTCCAGCGCTCAGCCCCTTTGCAGACTTTCTCCTTCGCCGCCAAGCTGATCGGGGCTGCCTTTCGCCATCCGGATCCAGATGGGGCTCCCGGTGGCAGCCTTGGGGCTTCTGTCCGCGGCGGCCGTCCTGATGCTGCGAGGACGATGCGGGGAAGGATGCGCAGGTGAGTGGCCGGAGGGGGGGAAGCTAAGGAGACCTGAGGCAGGCAACTTGGTTTTCTTGTGGCAGCGAGTTCCAAAGGCTTCGCCCGGTCGGCATCCTATCAATCTGAAACAAATACACGTTTTAGTCTCGCTGTAGACTTTCTGCATGAGTTTATACGGCCAACTGAAAGTTACCAGAGGGCATTTAGTCCCTCCTCTAAAGGAGAATATTTCTAGATCAGGGTCCTTGGTGGCTCTCTGAGCTTGGTGGTTTTCTTTGATTTTCAAATTTTATTCTTTTTTTATTGAAACATAAGAAACAAAGGAAAATAAAAAAGGAATGGAAAACTGGGGGGAGGAAAAAGAGAAAATGTGGATTGGGAAGGGAAAAAGGAAAAAAAAAGCATTGACTTCCAATTCTTTCACACAATAGAAGAGAAGAACATTTTACAATCTCAACTTTTTACTTTTGTACAATAGTATATACTAGCCATTTCTACAACAGCAAACCTGTCTAATCAACAAAAACAACATCAATATTTCATTTTCCCCCCATCACAAGCACAAAGTCTGGAAGCAATTTTCAAACTGAAACAAAATTAAATATATTCTCTTCTTTGGATAAAAGAATCAATTTAATTGCTTTTCCTTGCTGTGGGAAATAATATATATTTCTGATTGCTCATTAATATTTATACACTGTCATAATTTATGGTGGATTAATAAAATTCAGTATATTCTTTCACATTTTTTAACCCTAAAGGACAAAAAATATTTTTCTAAATTTTAAAATATTAACATTTTCTTTAAAACATTTCTAAAACCAATAAGTTCTAACACATATATTTTTTTAATTTTGCTCTTTTTAAACTTCCTCTTACATACATACATTAAAATTCACTTTCAATAATACTTTACAAATTTTAAGGATTACTCAAACTTCATATATAAAGGAGAAAAAAACTTTACTTTCAAACCCACTTCATAAACCCAGAATCCAAAAACACAATACTACATTGAAACTTTCTTTCAATACATATGTCAAACTTCTAAAGATCCATCCTAACTCGGATTACTTCATTGAATGTAAGTCACTCCCTCCAATTTATCCTTATAGGATAAAATATTTTTCTCTCAAGAATGTTGTTCAAGTCCCATGTCCTCAACAAATATTTGTTAATATATATATTTTAAAAATCCCCAAATGGTTCTGTTAAAAACTTGAAGCTCTTCCACATAGAATAAAGTTTTTGTCAGAGTTCCAAGTAACATACCCGTAGCAAAGAAAACTCCGAGGCAGGTAGATTCCTCAAAGAATAAGTTTTATTGAGCATGTCATATTGGCACATTCTGGTGAAAACCGACTCTGAATATTTCCACGTTTTCACCTAACTAAAAGTAAAAGTTTGCCACTTTCCCAAAACAACCAGTCACATGGTCCAATGAGGATAAAGTCCAGTTGCTAGGTGACATCAGTCCCCTCCTTCCAAACACCTGTGGGAATGTCCTTGGTTCCCAAGAGAAAATATTTTGTTTTGACTATATTACCCCAACTATCTATTCCCCCATCCCTGTCTTCTGGCTCCAGTGTTTCAGCACTAAAGACTCAAAATGGCCTCAATCAGGCCAGCTTCAGGATTGACAGTTTTCTTCTTCTCTGGGATGTCTATCAGATCTCTTTTTCTCAGAGAGTCCTCAACCTTGTTAGTATCCATGAAGAAAAAGTCCCAAATGTCACAGGAAGCCCTGAGCTTGGTTGTTTTCTTGTAGATATTTCATTACCCAAAACAGGAACCATCACCAGTGCTAGTAAGGAGCGAGGTTCTGTAGGACAGCCTAGGAGAACATAATGATGAACAGCAGCTAGCTAGGAGTTTGCAGACATGATGAAAACTCTTTAATGTCACGATGTGTGGACAGACTTGACCATAATTTCAACTGGGAAACTTTGACCATCCAAGACCAAGCCAACTCCAGAAGTGCTAGAGAATTTCTGGAAGCTTGGCACTCTGTCAAATTAGTCATCAATAGACACATAGTCATAAACAATGTGTACATCCTATGCAAAAGAGGCAATCAACAAATCAAAAAGGGGAACAAAACGACTAAAGCCCCTCCCCAGCACCAATCAGCACTGAGACAAGTGTAGATTTAACAGCAAGATTAACAGTAGATTAACAATAAAAAAGTAAACAATACTCCAGTCAAGGAACTGCCAAAGAAGCCAACAGTGAATAGAATAGAATAGAATAGAATAGAATAGAATAGAATAGAATAGAATAGAATAGAATAGAATAGAATAGAATAGGAATAGGAATAGGAATAGGAATAGGAATAGGAATAGGAATAGGAATAGGAATAGGAATAGGAATAGGAATAGAATTACTTTATTGTCACTTTGAATGTACACTAAGTGGCGTACATTAAAAATGAAATTTCATTGCATACAGCTTTTAAAGGATCACCACCTCCAATATAGCACTACATAAACATGACACGATAAATAAATAAATAAATAAATAAATACATACATACATACATACATACATACATACAAAATTATGCATATAATTTGACACATAAGGGACATGGTGGCTCAGTGGCTTCGACGCTGAGCTTGTCGATCAAAAGTTCGGCAGTTCAACAGTTTGAAACCCTAGTGCCGCGTAATGGTGTGAGCTCCCGTTGCTTGTCCCAGCTTCTGCCAACCTAGCAGTTCGAAAGACGTAAAATATGCAAGTCGAAAAATAGGGACCACCTTTGGTGGGAAGGTAACAGCATTCTGTGTGCCTTTGGCGTTTAGTCATGCCGGCCACATGATCAAGGAGACGTCTTTGGACAGCGCTGGCTCTTTGGCTTTGAAACAGAGATAAGCACCACTCCCTAGAGTTGGGAACAACCAGCACATATGTGCAAGGGGAACCTTTACCTTATTATATGACACAGAGAAACAACACAGTCCAGTTCGGGTGTATACATGTTTATGCAAAGAAAAGCAAATCTTGTGAGTTTACCAGACAGATGGCAAAGGGAGCTGTTACAGAATCTGGTAGTCATGCTAAAAATACTTTGAAACCTCCTGCCAGAGGGGAGCAACAGAAACAGATCTTGAAATGGGAGTGTGGGATCTCTAACAATGTTTTGAGCTCTAAGCACATAGCAGCATCCTGAATAAAAGGAAGCGAGCTTCCTATAATCTTCTTGGTTGTCCTTACCACTCTCTGTATGGACTTTCTATCTGAGGCACTGCTGCCACCAAACCAAACAGTGATGCAGCTTGTAAATTGCTCTCAATTGTGCCTCTGTAAAAAGTATCCAGGACAGAAGGAGAAAGATGTGTTCTCCTCATCCGACAAAGGAAATGAAGACGTCGGTTTGCACGCTTCACTAAGGATGACGTGTGAAATGACCAGATGTCAATATAAATTGTCAATATAAGTTGAGAGTAAACCCCACTCCTGATTAGCACTGATGATGTTACCTAGTCGGGTTAATGAAACATCTTCAAGAAAACAACCAAGCTCAGAGAGCACCAAGAACCTCTCAGTCCATCCTCATTTTGTACCATCAGAACGTCTTTCCTGATACACCTCTGTAAGTACACAAGATTGAGACACACCTCTCCCAAATCTTCTTTCTCCTCCCCCCCCTGCTCTTTTCAGGCTCCTCCTCCCATTCATTACACCTTTTCTACACATTGTTTGTGGACTCCAACCAGGACGGGGCCCATTACATTATGGCATATGTAGACAACCAGCTGGTGGCACGTTTTGATCCCACCACCAGAAGAATGTTGCCTCAAGTAGCCTGGCTCCATAATGTAACAGAGGAGGACTCTCATTTCTGGGACACGATATCTTGGACAGTGAACATCACGGAGCTGACGTTCAGGAATGAACTGCGCATCTACCACAACTCCAGCAAAGGTAAGGCACACCGGGGTGCAAGCAGGGGTGGGATTCTACTGGTTTGGACCGGTTCAGGTGAACTGGTAGCTCCGATGATCAGCTGGGAGCGAACCAGTTCGCTCCAACGATCAGCTGGGCCTGCCCGCCCATCCCTGCCCTTTACTTACCTTTATCTTTACAGCTCATTAGTGTGGTAGAGCAGATTGCCCCACCTCAGCTGTTTTAATTCCCTAGCACTAATGCGGAATTTTTCGTTGAACTGTGCAGCGAAGTGCGTGATCACCGAACTGGTTGTTAAACCGGAAGGATCCCATCGCTGGGTGCAAGGGGGATTGGGGACCATGGATTTTTGGCCTTCTCAGGTCATTCTTCTTCTCCAAGAGGAATCTGGATGGGTAGGAAATAGTAGCAAAGAAAATGGGCTTGTGCGTATCCTAATCAAAATATCTAAAACAGTATGTGTAAATTTATATTAAAAAGACCATATGCTTTCCTTACTTTATGCATGAATGTGGAAGACTGAATTAAGGGGTTTTTGTATGGCGAAAGTGAAAAGGACAAAATAAAGGATAACAGTGAGGTTTTTTTTTTTAAAAAAAAAGATCAAAAAACCTACAGGTCAGCTTTCTAAAATAAAGGATTGTCCTTTATTATAAGGTACAGATGTTTATCCCATAGGTGTTTTTTTTTTTTTTCAAAAGACAGCTGGACTCTGTTTTTCCTTAAAGACATTTCACTTCTCATCCAACAGAAACTGGCTCAGGGGTGAAATGCTCCCGGTTCGGACCGGATCGCCCAATCCGGTAGCGATGGAGGCAGGTGGTTCAGAGAACCGGTAGCAAAAATCCCTGCCCCTCATGTCCAGCTGAGCCGCACAATCATCAGAGGCTTTTTTTTTTACTTTTAAAAGCATTTTTTCTACAACCTCTTCGGCTGAAAAAATGCTTTTAAAAGTAAAAAAAAAGCCTCTGATGATTGCGCGGCTCAGCTTGGATCGTCAGAGGCATTTTCTTTTAAATGCCTCTGATGATCCAAGTGGAGTTTTTTAAAAAAGCCTCTGCCGATCAGGCAACTCAGCTGGGATCGTCAGAGCCTTTTGAAAGCATTTTTTTACAACCTCTTCGCCGAAGGGGTTGTAGAAAAAATGGTTTTAAAAGTAAAAAAAAAAAAAAAAAGGCCACGCCCACCCAGTTACCCCCTCCCACCAAGCCACGCCCACAGAACCGATAGTAACAAATTTTAGATTTCACCACCGAACTGGCTGTTTACAAAACTATCCCCTAAATACGTCTCAATCTGTAGATTCTCGAATACCAAAGTGGAGGGAGAAAAAAACCCACGAAAAGTGTGTCAAAAATAGGGACAGGGATGTGATCTTCCTAAAGCGTTTTTTTTCAAGAGACAACTGGACTTCCTTGTTTTTCTTTGAAGACGTTTCGTTTTTTAGCCAAGAAGCTCCTTCAGTTCTGACTGGAGGGTGGGGAATGGAAGGATTTATACTCCTTGAAGACAGCTGGTCATTTGCATCCTTTTACAGAGCTGTTGAGGCCACTTGGAGGTTCGCCTGTTTCCTCAGAGTCACTTGAGTAGTGCAAATGGGTGTGGATCCTTCTGATCTGTCCCCGTACCCACACACACAGCCAGTCGAGGGTTAAGGAAACACTTTGGAACGCACCCAGTTCTTATCTCCCACTTGGCAGCGATAGACACACCGTCTGCCAAGTGACTTTATTTTCAAAGTAAACCAGAAAGACAAAATACTCAAGAGTCCAAATGTCCGACACTTTAAATCTTTCTCTCAGCAGCTCCGGACGAGGCTTTAGTGACTATCCAAGGTTTGCTTTGTTCGTCACAAGGATCCTTTGACCACTACCCTCTATTATATAGTCTCTGGGGTGTGGTCCAGTGACTCAGTTCTAATCCCTAGCACGCCTCCTAAGCTGCTGCAAACGTTTATCACACCTTCGGAGGCGTGCGTCCAGGAATGATGTTTCTTCATCACTCTGATTTGAATCAGCTGTCTCTTCTCCCTCGGCCGGCACTTGAGACAATGCCAGAGGGGAGGGGCCTGGAGAGGGAGGCCTGGCTGACTCCTCTTCCTCATGCTCGGACCTTTCTTCCTCCGATGGGACAGGCTCAGAGGGCGGGGCCACAACACCTTCCTGGAACTGCTGAAAGGACTGTGTTGTGGAGCTGCACTTTCTGGTGACCTTGAGGACACAGACAAACATCCAAGTGGTCTCAGTGACTCTCTAAGAGAAGCAAATGTCCAGCTGTCTGCAAGGAGTATAAATCAGGGGTGAAATGTAAAATTTGTTGCTACCGGTTCCGTGGGTGTGGCTTGGTGGGGGGGGTTTAATGTGACTGGGTGGGTCTGGCCAACTTTTTTTTTTTTTTGAACTTTTCAAAGCATTTTTTCTAATGCTCTGAAAAGCCTCTGCCAATCAAGCAACTCGGCTGGGATCGTCAGAGAGGCATTTTAAAAAATACCTCTCCGCCGATCGGGCAACTCAGCTGGGAGTTGCCAGAGACTTTTCAAAGCATTTTTTTTTTACCATCTCTTCCACCAAGAGGTTGCAGAAAAAAATGCTTTGAAAAGCCTCTGACGATCCCAGCTGAGCCATGCGATCATCAGCGGCTTTTTTTTTTTTTAACTTTTAAACGCATTTTTTCTTCGGAAGAGGTTGTAGAAAAAAATGCTTTTAAAAGTTAAAAAAAAAAAGCCTCTGATGATCGTGCGGCTCAGCTGGGCATGGTGGAGGTGGGGGAGGGATTTTTGCTACCGGTTCTCCAAACCACCTACTGCCATCGCTACCGGATCAGGCGATCCGGTCCGAACTGGGAGCATTTCACCCCTGGTATAAATTCTTCCATTCCCCACCATCCAGTCAGAGTTGACGAAGCTTCTTGAATGAAAAGTGAAACATCTTCAAAACAAACAAACAAACAAGGAAGTCCAGTTGCCTCTTGAAAAAAGCACCTTTGGGACAACCATGATCTGGATGACTGAGAATCTCCATAGACGGTTATCTGTTCTTCCTGTGATGTCACCTTTCAATCCCGTGCCCATTTTCTCGGCAGGGTTTCACAGCTGGCAGAACTTGATTGGCTGCAAGCTGAGTGACGAAGGCCAGAAGCAGGGCACTTACCAGTTTGGCTATGATGGGGAAGACTTCATCAGCTTGGATCAGAAGACCCTCTCCTGGGTCGCAGTCAATGTCCATGCACAGGAGATCAAGAGGCTGTGGGAAGCTGATCCTTTGATCGCCCATATCTGGAATGACTATTTGGAGGAAAAATGTATTGAGTTCCTTCAGAAGTGCGTCATGTATGGAAAGGATTCCCTGCTGAGGAAAGGTGAGGCTGGAAGGAGGGAGCCAAGGCTTGGTGATGTCGCAGGATAGTTGTTGTGGCCTGTCAGGTATCAGCCCCTCCAGCAGCCGAGTCAGATGAGGAGGCGGTGTGGGAATCAGGGCCAACTTCAAGGCAACCTGAGAGCTCCGAGGGGGAAGAGGGAATGGAGCTGTCAGAGATAGAGACAGAGGTGTAGCTTGGGTTGTCCATCAGCCCCTCAAATGGAGAGTCAACAGCCCCCAGGTCTGGAGGTGGCTGATGAAGAAGAGGAGAAACTGCTGGGTCCAGTGTCTGATGCGTGGATGCGTAGAAGGCAGAGGAGAGGAGAGCAGTGGAAATCCATGGGCCGATCCTTGGGATGGAAGAGCCACCGCTACTAGCAAGGCCCCACCCTAACTCTGGGGATAAAAGGCAGGGGGCGGAGATGAATAGGTGTGGCAGACAACTATTCATCTCCCTGCCAGACAGACTTGTTAGCCTGCGGTGAGAGAGAGAGAGAGACTTTTTTGCTAGGGCTGCTGCCGCTCCTAATAAAGGAATCATTGATTTAGCTACAGAGGGTTTGTGGTGTTTGGGGAGCTGGGTGAGAATAATAATGCTCAACCTGTGGTAGAGTGTCCCCCAGGCTACACATGTGCACTGTTAAAATATGCCAGAGTTGTTTTCTCTACAGAACCCCCAGTGGCTGAAGTAATTCACACGATCCAGTACAAGGGCCTCGTCTGCCAAGTCTATGGCTTCTATCCCAAAGAGGTGAATGTCACCTGGAGGGAGGATGGAGAAATCAGGACCAAAAATACCTCCTCGTCAGGTGTTCTTCCAAACTCAGACGGGACCTACTATACCTCGCTGAGCATCAAGGTTGACCCGGAGGACAAGAGGAATCATTATCGCTGCTACGTGGAACATGCTGGGCTGCCGGAGCCTCTGATCGTGGCCTGGGAGGAGTCTGGTGAGAGAAAGTGGGGTGAGATACAGTTGAACCTGAGCAAACTTGACCCTTGAGTGGTCATATCACATAATGAACGTGGTGATGGAGTTTCCTCCTTTACCACCTGATGGCGTGGACCTTAAATTAAGAGCCGTAGTGGCGCCATGGTTAGAATGCGGTACTGCAGGCTACTTCTGTTGATTGCCGGCTGCCAGAAATTCGGCAGTTCGATTCTCACCGGCTCAAGGTTGACTCAGCCTTCCATCCTTCCGAGGTCAGTCAAGTGAGGACCCAGATTGTTGGGGACAACAGGCTGGCTCTGTAAACCGCTTAGAGAGGGCTGTAAAGCACCATGAAGCGGTATATAAGACTAAGCGCTATTGCTATTAAATTGGCCGCAGGTTGAATTCACTCAACACGCCAGGCCCCGAAAGACCCTTCCTTAGGTTCAAATGAACCCTTGACCAGGTTCAGTGTGTTCGACCATCCAGATCTTTGTGTAAATCTGAGCTGGTGGGTTAAGGCCATCTGAAAGAGGAGAAACTTCAGAGCAGGGTTCTCTAACGCCCGGATCACAAACCAGTCCTGGGCCGCAGCCTGTTTGGAAACTGGGCCACACAAGCTGCAGGCGAGTGCACAAAGGTTCATTTGTGCAAGCATGGGAGCTAGGTTGCAAGACCATCCCGTTCTCCCTCGCTGCCGCTGCCTCTTTTGCTGTCGATCCGTAGAGCAAGAAAGATTGGTGACCCTGGTATGAAGTGTGGTATGTAAAACTTGACTCCTGTGGGATGCCAGAAGAAGGAACAAGTGTGTGGGGAGGGGAGGAAGGCTTATAGCATGTTTTGACTGCATGTCAAAATCCTTGAGTTAGAAGTGTCCCTTGGGATCATCCAATCCACCCCCTGCTCAGTTCAGGCATCCAATTTAAACCATCCCAGAAAGATGGCTGTTGGGCTGATCCTGGGCAAATCCATCATCTCTCTGGATCAGACGTTCTGCGCCTACTATTAAGGAAATTTTAGAGCACTGTCCCTTGGTTCATTCCAAGGGAAGAGAAATCCCAGGGCTCCTCCAGTCATTTTGCCTTTTCTCCAAAACAGACAACAAAGTGTGGATCATTGTTGGAGTTGTGTCAGCTGTGGCCTTCATTCTTGTGATATTCTGTTTTGGTAAGTAACTCTTGGGTGGGCATGGGGCAGGGGTGAAATGCTACCAGTTTGGGCCGGTTTGCCTGAACCGGTAGTAATAATTACTACCGTTTGCCTGAACGGGTAGTAAAAAAATGCTTTAAGAAGTACGACAATCAGCTGTGCCGCGCAATCGTTGGAACTTATTTTTTACTTTTTAAAGCACTTTTTTACTACCTGTTCGGCCAAATCAAAGTAAAAAAATGCTTTAAGAAGTACGACAATCAGCTGTGCCGCGCAATCGTTGGAACTTATTTTTTACTTTTTAAAGCACTTTTTTACTACCTGTTCGGCCAAATCAAAGTAAAAAAATGCTTAAAAAAATAAAAAAAACAAAACAAAACAGTTCCGAAGATCAGCTATGCGACAATTAGCTATGCCAGGCAATGTTGGAACTTTTTTTTTTACTTTTTTTTTTTTTTAGCATTTTTTTACTACCAATCAGCTGTTAGAAAATCAGCTGTGCCTGATTGTCTGTGAGGTTCCTGCTTGTTGCAGGGGCCATTTTGTGTGAAGTCCAGCTGCTTTTATATGGTGTGTGAGTCTGTTGTGCAGCCACGCCCACCCGTTCACAAGACCACCAAGCCACGCCCACCCGGTCACATGACCACCAAGCCACGCCCCACCAAGCCACGCCCACAGAACCGGTAGGGAAAATTTTTGAACTTCACCACTGGCACGGGGTCCACCATTCACAAAAAGTGTAGGCTGCCAACTTCCAGGCCCCCAAAACCAGGTACAACTAGTCCTTGATTTACAACAGTTGAGCCCAAACTTGTGCCTTGGTAAGCAAGACATTTGTTAAGTGAGTTTTGCCCCATTGCACCCTCTTTCTTGCCACAGCTGTGAAGTGAATTATGGCCGTTGACAAGTTAGTAACCTGGTTGTTCAGGGAATCCTGCTTCCCCACTGACTTTGCGTGTCAGAAAGTCACAAAAGGTGATCACGTGACCCTGGGAACACAGACACGGTCATAAACATGAACCAGTTGTCGGGCATCCGGATGTAAATCACGTGACCATGGGGAGGCTTCGAAGGTTGTAACGGTGGAAAAATGGTCATAAGTCCCTTTTTTCAGTACTGTCGTAACTTTGAATGGTCACTAAACAAATTGTTGTAAATCGAGGACTACCTGTATTTCCTACAAGCTCCCTGAACCCACCCTCCGGATCTCCTGAAGGTCCCGGAGAGCTGCTCCACGTCGTACCCTAAATCAGTGTCCCAAAGGTGCTTTTTTCAGGAGGCCACTGGACTTCCTTGTTTTTTCTTTTGAAGACGTTTCGCTTCTCCTCCAAGAAGCTTCTTCAACTCCAACTGGATGATGGGACAACAGACAGCTGGTCATTTGCATTCTTCTAGAGAGTTGTTAATGCCACTTGGAGTTTTATCTGTGTCCTCAGGGTCACCTGAGTTCCTGTAGTCTGCATTTTTCCCCCTCTGGAAATCCATTCCTACTCCATTCCAAGGGTCTTCATCAGGGGCGGGTTCTAAATTTTTTTAACTGCCAGTTCTGTGGGCGTGGCTTATTTTGTGGGCGTGGCTTGATGGTCATGTGACAATTCTTTAGGATTTAGCAGAGGTACTGGTCTTCCAGGCTTTTAACTGCTTGCAGAGCTGTACCGGTCTACCCATTTGTTTTTGGAGGCACCAGTCTACTCATTTGTTTTTGGAGGCACTGGTCTACCCATTTATTTTTGCAGGCACCGGTCTACTCATTTGTTTTTGGAGGCACCGGTCTACCCATTTGTTTTTGGAGGCACCAGTCTACTCATTTGTTTTTGGAGGCACCGGTCTACTCATTTGTTTTTGGAGGCACCGGTCTACCCATTTGTTTTTGGAGGCACCGGTCTACCCATTTGTTTTTGGAGGCACCAGTCTACTCATTTATTTTTGGAGGCACCGGTCTACCCATTTATTTTTGCAGGCACCGGTCTACTCATTTGTTTTTGGAGGCACCGGTCTACCCATTTGTTTTTGGAGGCACCGGTCTACCCATTTGTTTTTGGAGGCACCGGTCTACCCATTTGTTTTTGGAGGCACCGGTCTACCCATTTGTTTTTGGAGGCACCGGTCTACCCATTTGTTTTTGGAGGCACCGGTCTACCCATTTGTTTTTGGAGGCACCGGTCTACCCATTTGTTTTTGGAGGCACCAGTCTACCACCAAACCGCCTTTTACCACTGATCAGCTGTAGGGCGGCCCTTTGAAGCCCAGCGGCAAGAATTTAAACAGTTTTTTTCCTTCTAGATGATCAGCTGGGACTCAGGAGGCAGCAATAGATTGGGGGTGGGACCAAATAAAAGGTAAAAATAACGTGGGGGGCAGGGGGCATAACTGGTTCGGTGACATCATATCATCACTGCTACCGGCTCGGCGGAACCGGGCGGAACCAGGAGGAACCCACCACTGGTCTTCATCACAAATTGTATAGCTAAAAGTCTATAGAAATTCTCAGTCATCCAGGTCATGGTTGTCCCAAAGTTGCTTTTTCAGGAGGCAACTGGACTTTCTGGGTTTTTTTTCTTTTGAAGACGTTTTGCTTCTCATCCAAAAAGCTTCTTCAGCTCTGACAGGTTAGTGGGGAATGGAAGGATTTATATTCCTTGCAGACAGCGAAACGTCTTCAAAATAAAAACAAAGTATTTATTGGATGTTTTAGTTTGCCAGCTGGTAGCAATTCTGCCTAACTGGTAGCATCATTAAGCCAAACTTGGGAGGCTTTAAGAAACAAAGCAGAGCCGGGTTTGATTAGTGCTGGGATGGGAGATAAACCCAAGCACTAACCTGCATTCATCCTGCTTAGCTTCTTTAAAGCCATCAAGGTCAGCCAATGATACGTTCGCACCCATGGATTTAGGGGCCATTCCCTTCTCCGGACATGGTTTTCCGACTTCCCAGTCTGTCCGACGGCTTTTTGATGCTGCTTGAGGAAGCGCCGAGGCGCTGAACTTCCCATCTACCAAAGGCCGAGGGGGAAATAAGGGTCTCTAAAGTGGGAACCTCTAATTTCTGGATTTTGTCTTGCAGCCATTAAATGTTTTGGAGTCCCGTGGAGAGAAATCTTGGGTGAGTGACCACGAAATGTAATTTTTATACAATTTGTCACCTTTGGGGTGGAAAGGGGAACAATCCAGATCAGCCCAAATGAAGTTGCGGCAGTTTATGGCTTCCTTTGCAATGGGAAATATCTGATCATGTTACATAGAAGAAAGTTTTTTTATAGACCAGTGTAGCCAAATAAAAGGTAAAAATAACGCAGAGGTGGGGCAGGGGGCAGAACCAGTTCGGTGATGTTATATCGTCATTGCTACCGGCTCGGTGGAACCGGGCAGAACTGGGAGGAGCCCACCACTGGTTTTCATCCCAAATTATATAGCTAAAAGTCTATAGAAATTCTCAGTCATCCAGGTCATGGTTGTCCCAAAGCTGCTTTTTCAGGAGGCAACTGTACTTTCTGGTTTTTTTCCTTTTGAAGACGTTTTGCTTCTCATCCAAGAAGCTTCTTCAGCTCTGACAGGTTAGTGGGGAATGGAAGGATTTATATCCCTTGCAGACAGCGAAACGTCTTCAAAATAAAAACAAGAAAGTCCAGTTGCCTCCTGAAAAACGCACCTTTGGGACAACTGTGATCTGGATGACTGAGAATCTCTACAGACCCTAAGCCAGTGATGGCTAACCTTTTTGCCATTGCGTGCCAGAAAAGGGGTGGGGGGTTTCACACATGCGTGTGCCCACACCCATAATTCTATATGCCCCGCCCTGCACATGTGTGCACAACCCCCCTCTCCCTCCTGGCACGTGATGGCCCGGTAGGCCCATTTTTCTTTCTCACCTGGCTCCAGATCCTCTCTATGCATCTGGGGAGGGTGAAAACAGCCTTCCCCACCCCCTTGGAGGCCCTCCAGAGGCAGGAAACAGCCTGTTTCCCTACTTCTGGTGGGCCCAGAAGGCCCGAAAATCAGCTGGCCAGAGCTGGCTGGCGTGCCAGGTGACATGGCTCCGTGTGCCACCTGTGGCACGTGTGCATAGGTTCACCATCGCAGTCCTAAGCCATTGTTTCTCAACCTGGACATTTGAAGACACGTGGACTTCTAGCTGGGGAATTCTGGAAATTGAAGTCCATGTAAGCTGCCAGAGTTGAGAAACATTGCCATAATAGCAATAGCACTTTGATTTATATACCACTTGCTTTTAGCTTGGATGTTTTAGTTTGCCAGCTGGTAGCAATTCTGCCTAACTGGTAGCATCATTAAGCCAAACTTGGGAGGCTTTAAGAAACAAAGCAGAGCTGGGTTTGATTAGTGCTGGGATGGGAGACCACCAAGAAATCCAAGGCCTGCAGGCTGAAAGTGGTAAACCCAAGCACTAACCTGCATTGATCCTACTTAGCTTCTTTAAAGCCATCAAGGTCAGCCAATGATATGTTTGCACCAGTGGTGAAATCTAAAATTTGTTACTACCGGTTCTGTGGGCGTGGCTTGGTGGGAGGGTAATGTGACTGGGTGGGCGTGGCCAATTTTTTTTTAACTTTTAAAACCATTTTTTCTACAACCTCTTCGGCGAAGAGGTTGTAAAAAAATGCTTTCAAAAGGCTCTGACGATCCCAGCTGAGTTGCCTGATCATCAGAGTCTTTTTTTCTTTTAAATGCCTCTGCCGATCAGGCAACTCAGCTTGGATCGCCAGAGGCATTTAAAAGAAAAAAAGCCTCTGATGATCAGGCAACTCAGCTTGGATCGTCAGAGGCATTAATTTAAAAGAAAAAAAGAGGCTTTTTTTCTTTTAAATGCCTCTGGCGATCCAAGCTAAGTTGCCTGATTGGCAGACACTTTTTTAAAAAGCCTCTTCTGATCGGGCAACTCAGCTTGGATCGTCAGAGGCATTTAAAAGGAAAAAAGCCTCTGATGATTGCGCAGCTGGGCATGGGGGGTGGATTTTTGCTACCGGTTCTTCGAACCACCCACCTCCATCACTACCGGATCGGGTGATCCGGTCCGAACCGGGAGCATTTCACCCCTGGTTCGCACCCATGGATTTAGGAGCATGGTTTTCTGACTTCCCAGTCTGTCCGACGGCTTTTTGATGCTGCTTGAGGAAGCGCCGAGGCTCTGAACTTCCCATCTAACAAAGGCCGAGGGGGAAATAAGGGTCTCTAAAGTGGGAACCTCTAATTTCTGGATTTTGTCTTGCAGCCAAATGTTTTGGAGCCAAGGGCAGAGAAATCTTGGGTGAGTGACCACGAAATGTAATTTCTTTACAGTTTGTCACCTTTGGGGTGGAAAGGGGAACAATCCAGATCAGCCCAAATGAAGTTGTGGCAATTTATGGCTTCCTTTGCAATGGGAAATATCTGATCGTGTTACATAGAAGAAAGTTTTTTATAGACCAGTGTATTTATTGATTTATAAATTACAATTTGTTATCTGCCCAGTAGCCAAATCTCCCTGGGCAGTTTACAATAACACAGACACAGAGAGAGAGAGAGAAAGGGGGGGGGGGAGAGAGAGAGAAACGGAGAGAGAGAAAAATGGAGAGAGAAAGAAACAGAAACGAAGAGAGGGATAAGAAATGGAGAGAGAGAGAAACGAGAGAGAATAGAGAGAGAGAAAGAAACAGGGAGAGAAAAAGAGAAACAGAGAGAAAAACACAGAGAAACAGGGAAAGGGGGAGAGAAAAACACAGAGAGAAACAGGAAGACAGAGAGAAAGAAATCGGGGAGAGAGAAAAACAGTGTGAGAGAGAAACGGGGAGAAAGGGAGAGAAATGGAGAGAGGGAGAGAAAAACAGAAAAAGAGAAACAGACAGAGAGAAAAGAGAAATAGAGAAAAACAGGAGAGAAACAGGTAAAGAGAAATGAAGAAAGAGAGAAACACACACAGAGAGAAACAGGAAGAGAAAGAAAAAAACAGAAAGAGAAACAAAGAAAGAAAGAAAGAGGAAGAGAGAAACAGGGAAAGACACACAGAGAAAGAGAGAGACACGCACACACAGAGAATTTGAGCTGAAACATACATGTTGTAGTAAAAGTCAGACTCCATTGATCAACCACAATATGTTTTATTCATTTATCTTTCAACCCTGATCAAGAGGCAAAGCTCTAGCAAAAGTGACAATAAATGAAACAAATTGTCGGCTGTGCCTAACAATCCCCCTGAAACCTTCCATTAGACCTCATTTGGGGAAAGGGGAGGGAAGTAGCACTGGGGCAGGCTGAGTTGGTGGGAGACGGGGTCAAGACGAGCAAAAGGGCAAACTTGGCTGATGAATTGATTGATTGATTGATTGATTGATTGATTGATTGATTGATGCTGGAGATCACCCTTGTCTGAGGCATTTTCATGAACAATGATAGGGGCCACCAGTTTTGCTTTCCTGCTTTATCGTAGAAAAACTACTAAGGATTTGAGTGCATATTTTTTTAAAAAATGTCCATCAAGTTCTCGCAGAACACATTTTGAAAAACCCTGTTCTTGGTCACTTGTTCTCAACCTGTGGTCCTCAGACCCCTGGGCGGGGGACATGATATCGTCACAGGAGGCCTGCGAAGGTTTGAAGAAATGTCATGATTTGAATCTTGAGTTAAGTCTTGGGGGTGGGGTGGGGGGGGGGTCTGTGGCCACAAAAGGTATTTAAAAGGGGTCCGTCATGAAGAAAAGGTTGAGAAGCAGTGGTGGGATTCAGCCAGTTCGCACCACTTCGGGAGAACCGGTTGTTAACTTTCTGAGCAGTTTGGCAAACTGGTTGTTGGAAGCAATCATTAGGGCGGAGAACCGGTTGTTAAATTACTTGAATCCCTCCACTGTTGTTCTAGATGTTGTGAGGTGACGGATGGCAAAAGGAAACACTCTTGATGTTTTTTTTTTTAAAAAGGAGGAATACATGAGGGAGAGGCCCAGGACTTTGTGGTTGCTTGTGTGTGAACCCGTCGATATATTATCTGACTAAAGGAGACATCTCACTTTGTCTTGGATCTTGATTTTTCTCATCTCTCTGTTACAGCCACCAGCCGGCGTTTTGAACTGCGTCGAGTGGTAAGTAGGGGGTGCGAGGCTGTAGGATCATATCTCTTTCATCAGAGGGAAAAAAAAATAAAATCTCTAGTACTGAAACAAAATATATCAGAATTTCTTGTAAAATTAAATCCAGAAAAAACAGATAACCGATTCAACAGGATTCATTAACTTCTTTATATTCATAATAACACATAAAGTAAATTTACAATACCAACAGCTGTTCTTTCAGGAGAGATCAGTTTCATTTCAGTTCAGATCAGCAGACAAGTTCACACGCAGAGAACAGTAGAGAGACTAGTTTGGTCTCCAGACTGGCTCCAGTCTGTCTCAGCTCCTAATTGGCTGATTTAGTTGCTATGCCTATTCATTGGCTGACCTTGTTACCATGGCCTATTCCAGTTGATGAATATACTCTGACAAAATATTGTATGTATGTATGTATGTATGTATGTATGTATGTATGTATGAAAGAAAGAAAGAAAGAAAGAAAGAAAGAAAGGAAAGAAAGAAAGAAAGAAAGAAAGAAAGAAAGAAAGAAAGAAAGAAAGAAAGAAAGAAAGAAAGAAAGAAAGAGGAGGGGTGGAAGGGAAGAGCAGGGGTGGGGGTGCAGATAGTAAGCCGGCTTCACCCAAAGGAGTTTTTGTTTCAGGTGTGTATCCGAGCCTTAGCAAGAGAGAGGGAAGGGGGAAGGGAGAGAGAGAGAGAGAGAGAGAGAAGAAAGAAAGAGAAAGGAAGGAAGGAAGGAAGAAAAGAAAGAGAAAGAAAGAAAGAAAGAAAGAAAGAAAGAAAGAGAGGAGGGGTGGAAGGGAAGAGCAGGGGTGGGGGTGCAGATAGTAAGCCGGTTTCATCCAAAGAAGTTTTTGTTTCAGGTGTGTATCCTAGCCTTAGAATGAGAGAGGGAAGGAGGAAGGGAAGGGAGAGAGAGAGGGGAGGAGGGAGGGAGGGAGAGAGAGAGAGAGAGAGAGAGAGAGAGGAGACAAGAAAGAAAGAAAGAAAGAAAGAAAGAAAGAAAGAAAGAAAGAAAGAAAGAAAGAAAGAAAGAAAGAAAGAAAGAAAGAAAGAAAAAGAAATTTAGCCGCTCACCTTATTGAAAGTGATTCCAGGCAGTGCGCAACAATCATGTTTTAGTATTCTCCTACTTGTGTTGGAATGTAGTCGGGATTCCCAGGAGGGGGCTGCGATCCACCAGATCACCCCATCCACAGCAAGATTGCCTTAAGGGGACCCCTTGTCAGCCTGAATACAGCGTGTTGCTCTGCTCTTCAGAACTTGCACTGGGAAAAACAAGGAAGTGGGCTCCATGGCTGAAGCAAGATCAGAATCCAGGTCTTCTCTCTGCTAATGCAATACCTTTAGCATTACCTGCAATGGTGCCTGTGAAAGACCTTGAGTGAAGGGGAGAAAAAATGCTGCCTAGGGAAGGGTCAGATAAGAGAATCTGTAGCCCAGAGTTGCATAATAGACAGGGTGAGAAACTCAGAAGGGATGTAGCTTCTTAGGCTGTGAAGGGGACTGTAGGAGAATTGTACTTTCAGACTTGCAAAGTTCTGTTAATGTAGCCTTACAATAATGTGGACTTAGCTTATCTGGTCATGCTTCCTGTCTAGTACACCTAGGAAATCTGACTCTGTGTGATGATGCCTGAAGAAGCTCTTGGTTCACTCTCGTTCCATTGTTAGGATAATTTTTATGATATAGTACTAGAATACCTTATTTGAGCATTTATACTTTTATGAAGGCTCACAAACCACGTTTCCTGGTTTACTTTCAGATTTGTAAACTTTTTCACACTTCCGTGTCCATAAATCTTCAAAAGTAGTTTAGCCAGGAAAGTGAGTTAAAGTATATCTTCTAAGGATACTGTAGATAAGGTATAATCCCAAGGATTCTTCTCAGATAATTATTCTCAGAAAAACCTAAAGGCCCTGGCAAGGAAGGAAGTTCCTTACATCAGGTGTCTCCAATTTTAAGATTTGTGAACTTCAACTCCCAGAATTCCTCTGCCAGAATTCTGGGAGTTGAAGTCCACAAGTCGTAAAAGACCTCGGGACCTTACCTGGAATGACATGAGGAGGGAAATGAGTGACTGTATAAGGGGTTGGTTCTTCTATAGGAGGGGCGCATTGTAGTGTAGGTAACCTGGATGGAAGGACCTTGGTTGCCCTCCCACCCAACAGCTTCCTGCGTCGTTCTTGCGTGAGGAATAAAGAACTCAATTTCATGCGGCGGCCTGGTGTTTTTTATCAACCCGGCTGAGGGCGAACTGGGTAAGGTACCAAATTCTCCCACAATTTTGGTGAGGCAGCCAGGAGTCATGAGAGCTCACCTGGAGGGCTGAGTCCCAAAACAGCCGCGCATGGAGCCATTTGCCCAAAGGGTGATGTCTTGCTGGTGGCTTCGCCTGGAACGTAGTAAAGGGAATTTGGGTCTTGGGCCAAACAGTTGCATGAATTAAGTCATTTCATGGTTGGTGAAAACCTGTGAAATTCTATTGTGTGAGTGATACCTCTTTGTCGTAAAATTTTCCTATTGTTCAAAACTGTGTGTCGAACTGGATTCCAGACGCCCCCAGATCTCTACTAGCTCTGGTGGGTGACGACCAGAGAACCCTGAATTGCAAGGGGGACCAGTAAGATCCGCATGCTTCAGTAGGGCTGTGAAAGATTGTATGACTGAGAAGAAGAGAACGTGGGAGAGAAGGAGTGTATTTTCTCCTGACCCGAGATTCTTTTTTCCCCCTTGTTTTGATAATTGAAATATGTAGGAAAGCTATGGGTAATTCATGTTGTTGCTTTTGAACTGAATGAAAGTAATGTTTGGTATTGGAAAGGCTTGTGGGTATGTTTTTGTTCTGACCCAGCTCCCCAAACACGACAAACCATCTGTAGTTGAAGCAATGATTCCTTTATTAGAAGCATAGCAGCTCCGGCAAAATGTTTCTCTTTTACCTCAGGCTAACAAGTCCATCCAGCAGGGAGATAATAGTTGTCTGCCACATCTATTCATCTCCGCCCCCTGCCTTTTATCCCCAGAGCTAGGGTGGGGCTTCGCTAGCAGCAGTGGCTCTTCCTTCCCAAGGATTGGCCCATGGATTTCCACTGCTCTCCTCTCCTCTGCCTTCTGTGCATCCGTGCATCAGGCACTGGACCCAGATGTTCCTCCTCTTCCTCATCAGCCACCTCCAGACCTGGGGGCTGTTGACTCTCCATCTGAGGGCTGACAGACGGCCCAGGCTTCGCCCCTCCCTCTCTCTCTCTCTCTCTCTCTCTGCCACCTGTTGGGTCCGCCAGCAGCCTGTGGAGCTGGCAGTGGAGTCGTACAGTGAGGAGGAACATGGGCCAGTTCTGGAGTCTGCGGAAGGCTTGGATGAGGGCTCTGCGTCGGAGGCAGAGATGGAGCCAGGGCCATCTGGGAGTTATGTACGGACTCCAGAGCCTCCAGAGTCAGACATCAGAGAAGCAGAGGAACAGGAGGAGCCCATGTGCAGAGCTGCCAGAAGGCAAGAACAGTTAAAACAAAAGGGACGACTTGAGAGCAAGGCCTGGAGATGATTGGCCCCTCCCATAAGGCTTAAAAGAGCAGCAAAGGCACATGGGCCCTTTGCAGGAAAGCAGCGTTGTTAATTCTGTTCCCAGTCGGCATCTCTGTTTGATTCTGGACTCCGTGTGGCCTTGCCAAGTAGGTCTTTGGCAGTGTGTCAAGGGAGATAAAGGTTGGTGATTATCCTGAAGGACTTCTCTCGAAGGACTTTTTGCAACTAATTGGGACTCAGCTGTGAATGAAAGTAATTCACAGCTGTTGCAATAAAAGCGGTTTTTGGGACTACTCGTGTGTTTTAATGACTCAGGAAGCCTAGGCCACAACACCAGCTCCATTCCCTCTTCTCCCTCGGAGCTCTCAGGTTCCCTTGATGCTGACCCTGACTCCCACGCCTTCTCCTCCTCATCTGATTCAGCTGTTCGAGGGGCTGGCGGCCAATAGGCCGCAACAGTTTTGTTTGTGTGGTGTGGTGTGTTTAGTGTTGGGGAACATATGTAAATTAACCTGTTGCAAGGTTTTTCTTTTCACTTATTTTGGAATCTACTTTGCTAACTCAGATATTTGGCGAAAAGGGGAGGGAAATGTGTCCCATGAGGAACAAGTGGTTAGTTGACTGCTATCTCGCTGATAAAAACAGCCCTCAGTTCCAGGTGGTTGGCTCAGTTGTTCTCCTGTTGTCTTCTCCTGTTTGTCTACCTTCCTCCTGAGCTCAAGACTCCTGTGGAGTCTGCAAAGTTTTCTTGTCTTTTGCCTACTAGTTGCGAGACCAGGACCAGAGGCAGCAAGACCAGGACCAGAGGCAGCAGAGGACGATGATGGAGGACTTTGAAAGAACACAAACGAAGGCTCGGACACTACGACCTTTGTGGAATTTGTACTGACTCTATCTTAAACTTTACTAAGCCCTGTGGCTTGTTTGCAAGCCGAGATTTCACTGAGTTTCTATTTTTACACCTGCAGAGTGAAATTAAGACTTACAGTGGTACCTCGGTACTCATCGTAAATTGGTTCCAGGAGATGGGATGAGTACCAAAAATGATGAGTACTAAATCATTTTTCCGATAAGGAATAATGTAGTGAGTCACAAGGCAGCCGACACTGACAAATTCTAGCTTGTGTGTTGAGTACCAAACAAACGATGAGTACTGAGACAACATTTCCACGTCAAAATGCGTTAAGTACCAAATTCGATGAGTTTCAAAGCAGTTGAGTACCAAAGTACCACTGTACCTGTAAGAGTTTTACGACTGTTTATAGATTGGTTCTGGAGTGCATAACACTAGGCATGTCACCGGAAGGTAAAATCACAAAACACGGGAGTGGGATTCAGCCGGTTCGGACCGGTTCATGCAAAGGGCCTGGTGGCCATATCTGTGGGCACACGAACGTTGCCCTAGCTCAGCTCCAGTGTGTATATGCGTGCCAGCCAGCTGATTTTCAGGCCTTCCGGGCCCAGTGGAAGTCAGGAAATGGGCCATTTCTGGCCTCCAGAGGGCCTCCGGGGATGTAGGGAAGGTTGTTTTGCACTCTCCAGGCTCCAAGAAAGCCTCTGGAGCCTGGGGAGGGCAAAAAACAGGCCTACTGGGCCCACCACTAACCTTTTTGCCGTTGCATGCCAAAAGCGGGGGGAGCAGAGCACAGGGGGCATTGAATTATGGGTGTGGGCACACAGGCGTGCAACCTCCCCGCACTCCCCCCATCACTGGCCTGTACCATTTCAGACGAATGGTTGTCCAGTCTCTTTTTAAAGGCACACACAATTTTACACAATAATGCATTTCTAATATAATGGCTTTGGAAATAACCATGTATTTTGTTTTTCTCATGCCATAAAGAAGCATGCCAACTCAGTTGAAGATCATGTCCCTCCAAAGTCAGCAGTCTTTTGTGCCACAAACCAATTAATTCTTTCACCCAAGTAACTACCGACGCCTGATAATTCCACTCCCAATCTGGCAACCCAAAACCACCTCTATTTTTCAAGCCTTGCAACATTTTCAAGCTTATTCTTGCTTTTATTTCCCTTGCCAAATATATCTTAATATTATTTTATTTAGTTCTTCCAAATATTTTTTTTTCCAGCTTTATCGGAATTGTTCGAAATAAATATAATAGACTCGGAAGGATATTCATTTTTATAGTAGCTATTTTTCCTGTCAGCGACAATTGCAGGTTTTTCCATTTCTTCAGGTCTGTTTTAATTCGTTGCATCAGTTTATAATAATTAACTTCTTTAATAGTTACACATCTTGCCATTAATTGAATTCCTAAATATTTTACTTTCTTAACTATCTGAATATCTATTTGCTTCATTAACTCTTTTTTTCTGTGTATCTGTAACAGGGGTGGGTTCTAAAGTTTTTTTACTACTGATTCTGTGGGCGTGGCTTATTTTGTGGGCATGGCTTCATGGTCATGTGACAATTATTTAGGATTTAGCAGAGGTACTGGTCTATCAGGCTTTTAACTGCTTGCAGAGCTGTACCAGTTTACTCATTTGTTTTTGGAGGCACTGGTCTACCCATTTATTTTTGCAGGCACCGGTCTACTCATTTGTTTTTGGAGGCACTGGTCTACCCATTTATTTTTGCAGGCACCGGTCTACTCATTTGTTTTTGGAGGCACTGGTCTACCCATTTATTTTTGCAGGCACCGGTCTACTCATTTGTTTTTGGAAGCACTGGTCTACCCATTTATTTTTGGAGGCACCGGTCTACTCATTTGTTTTTGGAGGCACTGGTCTACCCATTTATTTTTGCAGGCACTGGTCTACTCATTTGTTTTTGGAGGCACTGGTCTACTCATTTGTTTTTGGAGGCACCGGTCTACTCATTTGTTTTTGGAGGCACTGGTCTACTCATTTGTTTTTGGAGGCACTGGTCTACCCATTTGTTTTTGGAGGCACTGGTCTACTCATTTGTTTTTGGAGGCACCGGTCTACTCATTTGTTTTTGGAGGCACTGGTCTACCCATTTATTTTTGCAGGCACTGGTCTACTCATTTGTTTTTGGAGGCACTGGTCTACTCATTTATTTTTGCAGGCACTGGTCTACTCATTTGTTTTTGGAGGCACCGGTCTACTCATTTGTTTTTGGAGGCACTGGTCTAGCCATTTATTTTTGCAGGCACTGGTCTACTCATTTGCTTTTGGAGGCACTGGTCTACTCATTTGTTTTTGGAGGCACCGGTCTACTCATTTGTTTTTGGAGGCACTGGTCTACCCATTTATTTTTGCAGGCACTGGTCTACTCATTTGTTTTTGGAGGCACTGGTCTACCCATTTATTTTTGCGGGTACTGGTCTACTCATTTGTTTTTGGAGGCACTGGTCTACCCATTTATTTTTGCAGGCACTGGTCTACTCATTTGTTTTTGGAGGCACTGGTCTACCCATTTATTTTTGCAGGCACTGGTCTACTCATTTGTTTTTGGAGGCACCGGTCTACTCATTTGTTTTTGGAGGCACTGGTCTACCCATTTATTTTTGCAGGCACTGGTCTACTCATTTGCTTTTGGAGGCACTGGTCTACTCATTTGTTTTTGGAGGCACCGGTCTACTCATTTGTTTTTGGAGGCACTGGTCTACCCATTTATTTTTGCAGGCACTGGTCTACTCATTTGTTTTTGGAGGCACTGGTCTACCCATTTATTTTTGCAGGCACTGGTCTACTCATTTGTTTTTGGAGGCACTGGTCTACCCATTTATTTTTGCAGGCACCGGTCTAGTCATTTGTTTTCTTTTAACACTGATCAGCTGTAGGGCGGCCCTTTGAAGCCCTGCGGCAAGAGTTTAAACAGTTTTTTCCCCCCCCAGCCAATCAGCTGGGACTCAGGAGAGAGCAATAGATTGGAGGTGGGGGCCAAATAAAAGGTAAGAATAATGTAGGGGGGGCGGGGGCAGAATCGGTTTGGTGATGTCATATCATCACCGCTACCGGCTTGGCGGAACCGGGAGGAACCCACCACTGATCTGTAAGGTTTTTGGAGCACTCAATTTCTGAAGGCAAGCTGTTCCACTGGTTAATCGTTCTCACTGTCAGGAAATTTCTCCCTAGTTCTAGATTGCTTCTCTCCTTGATTAGTTTTGATCCACTGCTTCTCGTCTTGCCTTCAGGTGCTTTGGAAACTACGTTGACCCCCTCTTTTTTGTGGCAGCCCCTCAAATATTGGAACAATGCTATCATGTCACCCCTAATCCTCCTTTCCATTGGACTAGACATACCCAATTCCTGCAACTGTTCTTTATTTATTATTTATTTCTTAGTCCAATTTATATGCCGCCCTTCTCCATAGACTCAGGGCGGCTTACAATGCATTATAGCAATAGCCTGCATACTGTATATACCTGCTTATTAGTGTTTTCGGCCCCCCCTAAGCGGTGTTGTTCTATACAAAGCTGGCTTATTGCCCCCGCAATCTAGGTCTTCAATTTACCTACCTCAAAAGGATGGAAGGCTGAGTCAACCTTGAGCCTGGTGAGATTTGAACTCGCACTAATGTCAGGCAGCTGGCAGCTAAGTGCTAGCACTTAACAGCACTTAGTCTGCTGCTGCACCACCGAGGCTCTTTATTATATTTTAGCCTCCAATCCAGGGATGGGTTCTACTTATCTTTACTATCAGTTCGTATTGGGGCCACGCGTAAGTGCGTGCACTCTTCTGCGCATGCACAGAATCGTTTTTGTGACATCGGGGTCAGTGGGCGGAGCCTCCCGCCGGCTTTGCTACCGGTTCTATAGAACCGGTGCGAACCGGGGGCAACCCACCACTGCTCCAGTGCCCTAATCATTTCTGTTGCTCTTCTCTGCATTCTTTCCAGAGTCTCAATATCTTTTTTATATTGTGGCAAGCAAAACTGGATGCAGTATTCCAAGTGTGGTCTTACCAAGGCATTATTAAGCAATCCTATCTCTCTGCAAATGCAGTCTAGGATTGTGTTGGCTTTTTTGATAGCTGCCGCACACTGCTCATATTTAAGTGATTGTCCACTAGGACTCCAAGATCCCTCTCACAGTTACTGCTACTGAGCCAAGTTTCCCCTGTTGTGGCCCCGCCCTCTGAGCCTATCTCATCAGAGGAAGAAGGTTCCGAACATGAGGGAGAGGAGTCAGCCAGGCCACCCTCTCCAGGCCCCTCCCCTCTGGCACTGCCTCAGGTGCCGGCCGAGGAAGGGGAGATTGGCCAGGAGCCAGGTGTCTCTGATGAGGGCGAGGAAGGAGAGCCGTCGTTCCTGGATGCACGCCAACGAAGGCGTGATAAACGGTTGCAGCAGTTAAGGAGGCGTGCTAGGGATTATAGCTGAGTCACTGGACCACACCCCAGAGACTATATAAGAGAGGGTGGTGGCTGGTAAAAATCTGTGACGAACAAAAACTAACTCTGGCTAGTCACTTGAACAACGTCTGAAGCTGCCGAAGGGATATTGTTTTGCTGGACTATTTGCAATGCGTATGTAATTTTATGTTATCTGTTGCAGTAAAACTCTTGGCAGACGGTGCTTATATTGCTGCCAAGTTTGAGATAACGATCTGTGTGCGTGCCAAGTACTTTCTTGACCCTCGGCTGGCTGTGTTTGTGTGTGTGTGTAGACGGGGACAGATCATCCCCTAATCCAGGGGTGTCAAACTCGATTTAATTGAGGGCCAGATTAGGATTGTGTTTGACCTTGGGGTGGGGGGTTTGGGGTGGGCGTGGCCAGGGTGAACATGGCCAGCTCGACATCACTCGTGTTGGGGGCACCTATGGTGGCCCAAGCTCTCTGCCAGCGAAAACGGGCTCCCGGGATCCATTTTTGGCTGCGATGGCCTCCTGCAACCTACTCTCAGCAAAAACAGAGTTTGGGAAGACCACCTGTGGCCCTCCTGAGCTCTGGTTTCACTGGCAGAGGCACCGTGGGCCAGTCCTTCGCTGTTTCCAGGGCGGCCCCCTGGGCCAGATCTAAACACCCCATGGGCCTGATCCAGCTCTCGGGCCTTGAGTTTGACACCCCTGATCTAATCTGTACCTGTGCATTTGGTTTTCCTTGCCTAAGTGTAAAACTTTACTTTTTTTTTTTTTTAAATTTGATTTATATGCCGCCCTTCTCTGGAGACTCAGGGCGGCTTACAATGCGTTAAGCAATAGCCTTCATACTTTTGTATATTTATACAAAGTCAGCTTATTGCCCCCACAAACTGGGTCCTCATTTCACCTACCTTAGAAAGGATGGAAGGCTGAGTCAACCTTGAGCCTTGGCGAGATTCGAACCTGCAGTAATTGCAGGCAGCTGGTCTTAATAACCAGCTTAATAACGGTGCCTTAGACCACTGTACTACCAAGGCTCTTTACACTGTACACTTTTCTTTACACTGTATTTCATTTTCTTAGATAGGGCCCAATATTCAAGTCTGTCCCGGCCATCTGAATCCTGAGCCTATCTTCTGGGGTGTTGGGTATTCTTGCCAGTTTGGTATCATCTGCAAATTTGATTCCCTCATCCAGATTGTTTATGAAGGTATTTTACCACCTTCTTCAAAGGATCTCTGTCTCTTCCCCTCCCCAGCAATCCCTGTGCTTGGAAGTTGAAAGAGCCCCACAGAAATGGAAAGGCCCTGATGGCACGAACAATAAAATGTAGACAAATTCTTGGTGGATTTTTTTTTTTTTAGGATTGGGTGGAATGGGGGGCCATCGTGGTGTCCATTGCTTCATGCATTGTATGGGGCATCATATTTTTCTTCCCCTGATTTACACATCCGCACAATTTCGCACCTGCTGTTGCTGCACCAAACTCAGAGCCTGCGACCACCAAGAGAAATACCCAAACCACACACACACAAAAGGGGGAGGGGCAACAGATGAAGAGACAGCAGAGATGTTCATCTGCAAAACTTGTGAGAACTGCGGCATTTACAACTTCCTGGAATTTGGAGAGTCGAGGCCCCAGAGTGCTCCCATAGCCATTATGCTAACGTTATGCTGGTGGGAAGCAAAGCCCAAAGAAGACAAACACTTCCTTCCCCCCCTCTCCCCGTGAGACAAGGCAGCAATTTGCTTTCTCCAGCCAATCTCTTCTTAAAAGCCTCCAGTGATGGAGCACCCACAATATCTCAAGGCAATCTGTTCCTCTGGTTGATTGTCCTCACTGTTAGGAAATTTCTCCTTAGTTCTAGATTGCTTCTCTCTCAACGGATTGAGAGTTCTAGATTGCTAGATAGTTCTAGATTGCTCCTTCTCTCAACGGATGGATACGTTTCCATCCGTTGTTTCTTGTCTTGCCTTCAGGTACTTTGGAAAATAAGTTGACCCCCTCCCTCTTCTTTGTGGCAGCCCCTCAAATATTGGAATACTGCTATCATGTCACCCCTGGTCCTTCTTTTCTCTAGACTAGCCAAACCCAAATCCTGCAACCGTTCTTCATATGTTTTAAGTCTCCAGTCCCCTAATCATCTTGGTTGCTCATCTCTGTACTTTTTCCAAAGTCTCAACATCCTTTTTGTAATGTGGTAACCAAAACTGGACACAGTATTCTGGCTGTGGTCTTACCAAGGTTTTATAAAGTTGTACTAATACTTCACGTGATTTTTATGCTATGCCCCCCCTGTTTCTACAACCAAGGATTTCTTAGCTTTTTTGGTGGCTGCTGTACACTGCGAACTCATGTTTAAGTGAGAGCGGAGGTGGTGCAGTGGTTAGAGTGAGCATGTGAGGGATCTCACGAAGAACGATGGTTCGTTGAGGGCGCTTCCAAGAAAATCTTCGTACTTTCCGTCGGGCACTTAAGACCTTCCTCTTTCACCAAGCCGGGCTGGCATAATTAATTTTTTTTTCTTTCCTTTTCCTAATTGTGTAAATTTTATTCTGAAGATCCTAACTTAACTGATAAGCCAAATTGACTTAATTATTATCTCTTGCTTCTATTCACATTTTATATATATGTTTATTTTGACTGTTCACCGCCCTGAGTCCTTCGGGAGAAGGGCGGTATAAAAATTAATTAATTAAATAAATAAATAAATAAATAAATAAATAAATAAATAAAAGGTCAGCATGCAGGGATGCAATCAAATTAAGTCTTTATTTAGAAGTAAAAGTAGAGTAAAATAAGTTCCCAGGCATGGAGGCATCCATGCCTGGATTAAGCCCATGGCTCAGTCCCATAGGAGAGTAGAACAAGAGCAGGGAAAAAGGAAAAAAGGAAAAAAGCAGAAGGCAGGGAGCAGGGGTTCTTATAGGAGCCCCTGGCCCCTCCCTTACCCATGTGTGTGAGGGGGCTGGAGGGCCATTAACTCTCCCCAATGGGACTGCAGGGGCTGGAGCCCCTTGACCCACCAGTGGGATCAAAGGTGCCTCTTTGCCCCCATCTGGTGGCCTTTGAAGAGACTGCCATGGCTGGCACAAAACACCCAACAGAGCAGGTCAACAGTTCAAATCTCACCAGCTCAAGGTTGACTCAGCCTTCCATCCTTCCAGGGTGGGTAAAATGAGGACCTAGATCAGTGATGGCTAACCTTTTTGCCATCGTGTGCCAGGAGAGGGGGACTGGGGGGGAGGGTCACGCATGCATGTGCCCATGCGCATGTGCACGCAACCCCACCCACCCCCGTTCCTGGCACATGATGGCTTGGTAAGCCCATTTTTCTTTCTTACCTGATTCCAAATCCTTTTTATGCATCTGGGAAGGTCGAAAACAGCCTTTCCCACTCCCTTGGAGTCCCTACGGAGGCTGAAAGGGCCCATTTCCCAACTCTCGGTGGGACAGGAAGTGATGTTTTTTGCTGTCCCCAGCCTCCAGAACCTCTTTAGGAGTCTGTAGGAGCCTCTCTAGGAGTCTGTAGGAGCCTCTCTAGGAGTCTCTGGAGGCTGGGGACAGGAAAAAACGTCACTTCCTGTCCCACTGGGAGTCGGGAAATGGGCCCTTTCAGCCTCCGTAGGACCTCTCGAGGGAGTGGGAAAGGCTTTTTTCGCCCTTCCCAGATCCATAGAAAGGATCTGAAGGCAGGTAAGAAAGAAAAATGGGCCTTCCCCACCCCCCACCAGGCCCTCCAGAGGCAGGAAACAGCCTGTTTCCCTACTTCTGGTGAACCCAGAACGCCCGAAAATCAACTGTCCGGCACGCGCATGCGCCCCAGAGCTGAGCTAGCGTGCCCACTAAAATGGCTCCGCGTGCCACCTGTGGCACGCGTGCCATAGGTTCGCCATCACGGACCTAGATTGTTGGAGGCAAGATGCTGACTCTGTAAACCACTTAGAGAGGGCTGTAAAAGCACTATGGAGCAGTATATAAGAGTCAGCCTGCAATGCTTCATTTTAACCCCGGCGCCACCAAGATACTCTTTGAAGCACTATCCTGAGGCTTTGCCACATTCTTCCAAGTGTCTCTCTCTGCCCCTTTCCCAGCTATGTGCTTGGAGGTTTAGAAAGCACTAAGGAACCAAAAGCAGGAACAATAAAATCTAGAAATTCTTTCTTCGGTTGATTTATTTTCCCAAGAATGGGTTTGGAGGGAGCCCATCCTCATATCCTTTGCTTCTTGCACTGTCTGGTGTCACCGTACTTCTTTTCTGACTTACACATCAACACAATTCCCCATCTGTCGGTGCTGCACCAACTTCAGAGGTTGAAACCACCAAGAGAGGCTACTGAAGAATGAAGAAAGCACAACGGATGGAGAGACAGCACAGGTGTTCATCTCTAGAGCTTCTGAGAAGGGCTGCCTTTAACAACTTCATGGAAGTTGGCTGCAGTGGGAGGGGCGTCAAATTGGGCAGGTGGTTCTTCCAAGGGTTAGAAGCCCTTGAAGAGTCCATTGAGGGGACCATCTTGGCCAAGCTCTTTGTAGGAGATCAACAGGCTGAACTGGAAGGCAGGTTAAACAAGTCACCAGTTTGTCCCAAAGGGGCTTTTCCAAAAGGCAACTGGATTTCATTTTTTCCCCCCTTGAAAACATTTCACTTCTCATCCAAGAAGCTTCTTCAGTTCTTGGGCAAGAAGCAAAATATTCTCAAGGAAAAAAACGAAGTCCAGCTGCCTTATGGAAAAGCCCCTTTGGGACAACCATGACTTGGATGATGGAGAATCTCCATAGACACGTGTCATCAGTTCAGAATCCAGCCACACACACCCAGTGAATTCAATTGATCCTTATCAAACGTCAGTTTAGCTTCAACTGTTAGTAGACCAGACCCTGATGTATGGGTAGCATGTAATAAAATTTTATTACTTTGAACTCAACTCCAGTTCCTGGTTACTTGTGCCTGGCACTCCTCCACGGAAGAACTGTTTGTGTGGAGGGGAACCTCAAATCTTTCTCCTCTCTGGTTCATCCTTCATGCCTGTCTGGGATGTGACGGGGGAAAGACAAAGACAAAGAAAGGGGAAAAGCCACACAAATTCCTGGGGCACAAGCCATCAAACGGCAGCATTGGCAATTCATTTAGGGAGAAAGCAGCTAGAGATGAACCAGCCTGAACACGCAGCCCTCCTTCTGGGAAGATTTTGAAGGGCATTTGACCCAGGTGTGCCTCCCCTAACTCTAGATTGTGGTTTGGGGCAATAAAAGGAAAAGAGCAACTGAATTCAGAAGGGAGGCAGTAAAGGAAAAGACGAGGAAAAGGAAAGAACAGAGGATTCTAGAAGGGGTAGAGGAGAGAAGGGGAAAGGAGAAAGGAAAGGAAAGGAGAAAGAAAAAGAAAAAGAAAGAAAGAAAAAGAAAAAGAAAGAAAAGGGAAGGGAAGGGCAAGGGGACGGAAGGAAAGGAGAAAGGAGAAAAGAAGGAAGAAGGAGAAGGGAAGGAGAAAGAAAAAGACAGACAGAAAGAGGAAGGGGGGGGAAAGGAAAGGAGAAGGAAAAAGAAAGAAAGAAAAAGGAAGAAAGAAAGAAGGAAGGGCAAGGGACAGAAGGAAAGGAGAAAAGAAGGAAGAAGGAGAAGGGAAGGAGAAAGAAAAAGACAGACAGACAGAAAGAGGAAGGAGGGGGGAAAGGAAAGGAGAAGGAAAAAGAAAGAAAAAGAGGAAGAAAGAAAGGAAGGGCAAGGGGACGGAAGGAAAGGAGAAAGGAGAAAAGAAGGAAGAAGGAGAAGGGAAGGAGAAAGAAAAAGACAGACAGAAAGAAAGAGGAAGGAGGGGGGAAAGGAAAGGAGAAGGAAAAAGAAAGAAAGAAAGAAAAAGAGGAAGAAAGAAAGAAGGAAGGGCAAGGGACAGAAGGAAAGGAGAAAAGAAGGAAGAAGGAGAAGGGAAGGAGAAAGAAAAAGACAGACAGACAGAAAGAGGAAGGAGGGAGGGAAAGGAAAGGAGAAGGAAAAAGAAAGAACGAAAGAACGAAAGAAAAGGTAAGGGGACGTAAGGAAAGGAGAAAGGAAGGAAAGGAAGGAAGGAAGAAGGAGAAGGGAAGGAGAAAGGCAGAAAGAAGAAGGAGGAAGGGAGGGAAGGGGAAAGGAAAGGAAAGGAAAGAGGAAGGAAGGAAAGGCTGTAGGAAGGAAGGAAGAAGGAGAAAGAAAGGAGAAAGAAAGAAAAAGAAAGAAAGAAAGAAGGGAGGGAGGGAGGGAAGGGGAATGGAATGGAAAGGAAAAGAAAGGAAAGGAAAGGAGAAGGAAGGAAGGAAGGAAGGAAGGAAGGAAGGAAGGAGGAGAAAGAAAGGAGAAAGAAAGAAAAAAAGAACGAAAGAAAAGGTAAGGGAACGGAAGGAAAGGAGAAAGGAAGGAAAGGAAGGAAGGAAGAAGGAGAAGGGAAGGAGAAAGGCAGAAAGAAGAAGGAGGAAGGGAGGGAAGGGGAAAGGAAAGGAAAGGAAAGAGGAAGGAAGGAAAGGCTGTAGGAAGGCAGGAAGGAGGAGAAAGAAAGGAGAAAGAAAGAAAAAGAAAGAAAGAAGGGAGGGAGGGAGGGAGGGAAGGGGAATGGAATGGAAAGGAAAAGAAAGGAAAGGAAAGAGGAAGGAAGGAAAGGAAGGAAGGAAGAAGGAGAAGGGAAGGAGAAAGGCAGAAAGAAGAAGGAGGAAGGGAGGGAAGGGGAAAGGAAAGGAAAGGAAAGAGGAAGGAAGGAAAGGCTGTAGGAAGGCAGGAAGGAGGAGAAAGAAAGGAGAAAGAAAGAAAAAGAAAGAAGGGAGGGAGGGAGGGAGGGAAGGGGAATGGAATGGAAAGGAAAAGAAAGAAAAGGAAAGGAGAAGGAAGGAAGGAAGGAAGGAAGAAGGAGAAGGGAAGGAGAAAGGCAGAAAGAAGAAGGAGGAAGGGAGGGAAGGGGAAAGGAAAGGAAAGGAAAGAGGAAGGAAGGAAAGGCTGTAGGAAGGCAGGAAGGAGGAGAAAGAAAGGAGAAAGAAAGAAAAAGAAAGAAAGAAGGGAGGGAGGGAGGGAGGGAAGGGGAATGGAATGGAAAGGAAAAGAAAGAAAAGGAAAGGAGAAGGAAGGAAGGAAGGAAGGAAGAAGGAGAAGGGAAGGAGAAAGGCAGAAAGAAGAAGGAGGAAGGGAGGGAAGGGGAAAGGAAAGGAAAGGAAAGAGGAAGGAAGGAAAGGCTGTAGGAAGGCAGGAAGGAGGAGAAAGAAAGGAGAAAGAAAGAAAAAGAAAGAAAGAAAGAAGGGAGGGAGGGAGGGAAGGGGAATGGAATGGAATGGAAAGGAAGGAAGGAAGGAAGGAGGAGAAAGAAAGGAGAAAGAAAGAAAAAGAAAGAAAGAAAGAAAAAGAAGGAAAGAAAGAAAGAAAGGGAGGGAAGGGGAACGGAATGGAATGGAATGGAAAGGAAGGAAGGAAGGAAGGAAGGAAGGAAGGAAGGAAGGAAGGAAGGAAGGAAGGAAGGAAGGAGAAGGGAAGGAGAAAGAAAAAGACAGACAGACAGAAAGAGGAAGGAGGGGGGGAAAGGAAAGGAGAAGGAAAAAGAAAGAAAGAAAGAAAAAGAAGGAAAAAAAGAAAGAAAGGGAGGGAGGGAGGGAAGGGGAATGGAATGGAATGGAATGGAATGAAGGAAGGAAGGAAGGAAGGAAGGAAGGAAGGAAGGAAGGAGAAGGAAATAAACTCACTTCTTGCCCAAAGTCTTTATCCAATATACACGGACTTCTCTTATCTCTGATCTGGTGACTAAAATTCCAATTATCCACTCAAGCAGACCTTAGAGTATTCCAGATAAATGGGAAGGAAAGTGGGGGGGAGGAAGGAGAAGAGGAGGGGGAGCCATGTCCTGGGCTGGGTCTCTCCCCCTCCAAGCTCATTGATAACAGAATCACAGTCTCGGGAGATTCTCGGTCCTGGTTGCCCCAAAGGGGCTTTCTCAAGAGGCAACTGGACTTTCTGGTTTTTCCTTGAAGACGTTTCCCTTCTCATCCAAGGAGCTGCTTCAGCTCTCGAGCTTCTTGGCTGAGTCTTCAAAGAAAACCCAGAAATGTCTTGGAAAAAGCCCCTTTGGGACAACCGAATGGCAGAGTTGGAAGGGACCTTGGAGGTCTTCTAGTCCAGCCCCCTCCTCAAGCAGGAGGGAGGGAGGGAGGGAAGGAAGGAAGGAAGGAAAGGAAGGAAAGGAAAGGAAAGGAAAGAAAGGGAAGGGAAGAAAGGAAGGGAAGGAAAGGAAAGAAAGGGAAGGGAAGGAAGGAAAGGAAAGGAAGGAAGGAAGGAAAGGGAAGGAAGGAAGGGAAGGGAAGGGAGGAAGGAAAGGAAGGGAGGAAGAAAGGGAGGGAGGAAGGAAAGGAAGGAAGGAGGGAAGGAAAGAATGAAGGAAGGAAGGAAGGGAGGAAGAAAGGGAGGGAGGGAGGAAGGAAAGGAAGGAAGGAGGGAAGGAAAGAAGGAAGGAAGGAAGGAAAGATTGATTTCCAAGATAGAAACATCTTCCTTCCTTCTTATTTATTTATTTATTTATTTATTTATTTATTTAATTTGTATACCGCCCTTCTCCCGGAAGGGACTCAGGGCGGTGAACAGCCAAAAGTAAAATACATACAATACAAAAGTTAAGATAATTAAAAAAGATTAAATCAATCGGCCTCCCAATTTAAAACCCCAAGTCTATAGAATTAAAATCCCATTAAAAACCATTTAGGCTAGGCCGGCTTGCTGGAATAAATAAGTCTTCAGGGCCTTACGGAAGGTCCGGAGGTCCGGGATCGGTCGTATTCCAGGAGGTTCTTGATTTACCAACCCTTGTTTAAGAACATTTGGTGTTTCTTTGCCATCAATTCCATTGGTATTTCTGGGGAGCTGTTGAAATAGAGAGCAAAGGTCCATTTGGGCAGCGAAAACACAGCCAGGGTTGAGTTTATACATGATTCTGGGACTGGTCTAATTTCCATATGTAAGTGGGGGAGGAGGATAGGGACAACAGTCAGTAGGAAAAGAGGTTGCAGCAGGAGACATTGGGGGGGGGGTTGACAGGAGGGGCACAGAAAAAGCTGTTTGTAGAAGAGTTTGCAGCTTTATTTTATTCTTTCTTCAATTATTCCATCACAGAGGAACCTTCAGAACTCAATCCGTCTCTCTCCCATCTCTTTCCTCCCCTTACCTGCTATGGAGTCCACCTTATCAGAAAATAAGAGTCACCTGGGAAGGGCTGGAGGGCCGGGAAAGGGTTGGGTTGATTCTCTGGAGAGCAGCCAGGTCTCTAACAAGGAAGTTGTAGGTCAATCCAAGGGTTTGCCAGCTATAAACAGAGTTTACATCTAACATGTTTCAGCAGTGGGTGAGAAAGAAAGAAAGAAAGGCATAACCCGTAGAAAAATGTACACCCCCCCCCAAACTCTGGGAGAGAATGGAGTTGCTGAACACAGGAAGGGTGTGTTACAAATCATGAAAGAAAGGACAATCACTTAAATATTGATAAATAAAGAGCCTGGTGGTGCAGCAGACTAATAGCCTGTTATTAACATTCAGCTGCCTGCAATTACTGCAAGTTCGAATCTCACCAGGCTCGAGGTTGACTCAGCCTTCCATCCTTTCTAAGGTAGGTAAATTGAGGACCCAGTTTGTGGGGGGCAATAAGCTGAGTTTGTATAAATATACAAAAGTATGAAGGCTGTTGCTTAACGCATTGTAAGTCTCCGGAGAAGGGCGGCATATAAATCAAATTTTATATATATATATATGTGTGTGTGTTTCTTCTAGCCAGGTTTTCCTACGTAACCAAGGCTAGAAGAAAAACACACATAAACCCTACGAAGAAGTAAGAATATATATATATATATATATATATATATATTTGTTTTCTCAGGTTTTCGCGGGTGTTTGTATGTAGGTCTTTGGTTATTCGGGTCTTCTCCCACGTAAAATTGGAAGTGTCTTGGCGACGTTTCGACGAAGTCTCATTCGTCATCTTCAGGCTGGTGTTCTCGGCTTCGTGCTTCCAGGAGTATACACACACACACACACACACACACACACACACACACACACACACACACACAGTTCTAGGCTGCATAAACAGAGGGATAGAATCAAGATCACGTGAAGTGTTAATACCACTTTATAATGCCTTGGTAAGGCCACACTTGGAATATTGCATCCAGTTTTGGTCGCCACGATGTAAAAAAAGATGTGGAGACTCTAGAAAGAGTTCAGAGAAGAGCAACAAAGAGGATTAGGGGACCGGAGGCTAAAACATATCAAGAACGGTTGCTGGAACTGGGTATGTCTAGTTTAATGAAAAGAAGGACTAGGGGCAGTGGTGGGATTCAGCCAGTTTGCACCACTTCGGGATAACCGTTTTTTTTGTTTTGTTTTGTTTTTTAATTGGATTTATATGCCGCCCTTCTCCGGAGACTCAGGGCGGCTTACAATGCGTTAAGCAATAGCCTTCATACTTTTGTATATTTATACAAAGTCAGCTTATTGCCCCCACAAACTGGCTCCTCAATTTACCTACCTTAGAAAGGATGGAAGGCTGAGTCAACCTTGAGCCTGGTAAGATTCGAATCTGCAGAAATTGCAGACAGCTGGTCTTAATAACCAGCTTAATAACAGGGTGCCTTAGACCACTGTACTACCAAGGCTCTTAAAGTTTGAGCAGTTTGGTGAACTGGTTGTTGGAAGAAATCATTAGGGCAGAGAACCAGTTGTTAAATTATTTGAATCCCACCACTAACTAGGGGTGACATGATAGCATTGCTCCTTTTTTAGCCTTTTTTAGCTTTTTAAATTGTCAAATGGGTTTTAGTTTCAATGTTTTAAATTTGGGGCCACAGTTATATAATTCTTTTAATAATTTTAAATTTTGTATTGGTATGTGTTTTAGTTCTGGCTGTGCACCGCCCTGAGTCCACTAGGAGAAGGGCGGGATATAAATTGAATAAAATAAATCAATAAATAAAATATCTCAGGGGCTGCCAAGAAGAAGAGGGAGTCAAGCTATTCTCCAAAGCCCCTGAGGGCAGGACAAGAAGCAATGGGTGGAAACTAATCAAGGAGAGAAGCAACTTAGAACTAAGGAGAAATTTCCTGACAGTTAGAACAATTAATCAGTGGAACATCTTGCCTCCAGAAGTTGTGGATGCTCCAACACCGGAAGTTTTTAAGAAGCGATTGTACAACCATTTGTCTGAAGTGGTGTAGGGTTTCCTGCCTAAGCAGGGGGTTGGACTAGAAGACCTCCAAGGTCCCTGCCATCTCTGTTATTCTGTGAAGATGCAGATGCAGGAATGAGTAAGATGTATTGGGGCGAAGCAATTTTAAGTGCCAATTATGTGGTCAGTCCTGTCCCAGGTCCATCAGTTCCCTACAATTGGCAAGGGAGTTGTGATCTGAGTCAGGCGCACAAGCAGGTGGCTGAGAATCCCAAGAGCCCAGGAAAGGTGGGAGTGGGATCTGAACCAGATGTGGGCCTGCCCAGATGTTTTTAATCTCAGCCAATGGATGCTGGGGGCTTCTTCCCCAGGTATAAATGGAGGAACCTTTCCAAGCAGAGGAGAAAGAGGGCAACCCAGTTGTTGGAGATGCTCAATGATAACAAAATGTCGGAGGGGATGGAGTGTAGACTTCTTAATTCTACCCTTCTTCTTCTTCCCTCTCCAGGCTCTCTCACACACTCCCTGTGCTACTTCTACCTGCAACTCTCAGAGCCCAGCCAGGGGCCACCTCAGTCCTTCATCAGAGGCTACTTGGATGACCAGCCCATCGCTCGCTTTGACAGCCTCACCAGGAAGACGGAGCCTCTGGTGCCCTGGATGGAGGGGGTGGAAAACCAGACCTTTCTGGCCCCCGAGTGGGTTTTCAGGACTGACCAGGAGAAGTTATCAAAACAGGACCACCATGCTGGAGGTGAGCAAAGGCAGTGCCACATTTGGCCTCCAATGTGGCAGCGTGGAAGCTTCTGGTGATAATATGGAGTTTTTACTTGGAGTTGGGGACTTTCTGGAACATTTGCGCCCCTTTCTGGATCGGGACTCCCTACGCACGGTCACTTCCCGCCTGGACTACTGCAATGCTCTCTACATGGGGCTCCCCTTGGGGTACACCCGGAGGCTGCAGTTGGTCCAGAACGCGGCCGCGCGGGGGATTAAGGGAGCGACGGGGCGCTCACATATAACACCTCTCCTGCGCGAGCTGCACTGGCTTCCTGTGGTCTTCCGGGTGCGCTTCAAGGTGTTGGTGACCACCTTTAACGCGCTCCATGGCTTAGGGCCGGGGTATTTGCGAGACCGCCTTCTGCCGCTGATAGCCTCCCACCGACCGGTTCACTCACACAGGGAGGGCCTCCTCAGGGTGCCGTCGGCCAGGCAGTGCCAGCTGGCGACCCCCAGGGGGAGAGCCTTCTCTGTGGCAGCACCTGCCCTCTGGAATGACCTGCCCCCTGAGATACGCACGATATCAGACCTCCGGACTTTTTGTCGGGCCCTGAAGACACACTTGTTCCATCTAGCTGGGCTGGCTTGATCCCAGCCTCTTAGTTTTTAATCGAATTTCGGCTTTAATTGGGTTGTTTTAAATTCGGGCCAATATTATTTAATTGTTTTTTAAAATGTTTTTAAATTTTATATGCTATATTTTATCCTGGCTGTACACCACCCTGAGTCCCGCAGGAGAAGGGCGGTATAGAAATATAATAAAATAAATAAATAAATAAACATTGACAATATGCATGCATTACATCCCCTGCTTTGCAAAGGAAAGACACAAATCAGTAGTGGGTTGCTCCCGGTTCTGTCCGGTTCTTTAGAACCGGTAGTAAAAGCGGCGGGAGGCTCCGCCCACCCGCCCGGATGTCATAATTGACGATCTGCGCATGTGCAGAAACATGCACGCATGAGCGAAGCAAGTGTGCACATGCGCTCCCATTGCAAACTGGTAGTAAAGGTAAGTGGAACCCAACGCTGACACAAACACACGCACAAACTGAATTTTTTCCCTCACCTGGAAATTCTTCACGGCTTGACCCCACCCAGATTATGCTCTCTGAACCCAAAAACATGTTCCTCCATGTGGGATAAAGAGGGGAAGGACGGAGAGATTGGTCAGATAAGGGCAAGACCCCTTGCCTGAGACTTCTTAATTTATTATATTTATTAGTTCGATTTATATGCCGCCCTTCTCCGGAGACTCAGGGCGGCTTACAATGCGTTAAGCAATAGCCTTCATACTTTTGTATATACCTGCTTAGTAGGGCTTTCGCCCCCCACCCCCAAGAGGTGTTCTTTTTTATACCAAGTCCATAATCCGGGTCCTCATTTTACCTACCTCGAAAGGATGGAAGGCTGAGTCAACCTTGAGCCTGGTGAGATTTGAACTTGCAGTAATTGCAGGCAACTGGTGCTACTTAATAGCACTTTAACCTGCTGCGCCACCAAGGCTCTTATCTTAATGGTCCTTCTGGAGGGGAGGGGGGCTGAGGAGAGGACTCCTGAGCCCTTCTCACCCACCCTTCTCTGGGTCTCTCTCAGGGCTTCATATCTGGCAGGCGATTTTGGGCTGTGAGCTCAGGGAAAATGGGAGCAAAGGAGGGTTTTTGCACTATGGCTCCAACAGGTGGGACTTCATCAGCTTCAAGAATAAGACCCACAGATTGGGGGCAGCTCAGCCCCAGGTCGAGAATGTCAAGCTGAAGTGGAAGGAGGATCCAGGGTGGTCAGAGAAAGTGAAAGTCTTCCTGGAGGAGAGCTGCATTGAGGGGCTGCAGAGATACCTGTCCTACGGGAAGGAGGCTCTGCAGAGGCCAGGTGAGTGGCAAAGGGGGATCTCCACTGAGCATGTTTCTATAGGCTCCTCCTCCCCATATTATTTCTTCCCTATATAGCCAGGCCACCCTTTGTAGAAAAAGGTCAGGCAGTATCCCACATCACAGAAGGAAAATAATCTTCAATGCCCCCCCCAAAAAATAAGGACTTCAAAGTCAAAGACATTACCTGAGTAAGAAATTAATGCTGAAGGTCTCGTTCTATTTCCATGAGAAAATCTTGCAAAACAAAAGAAACTAACATTGGATCAGAACAAAAAGATAAGTTTGTCCCTTATTTCTATATGGATTGAGTTGAGTAGAGTAGATAGAGTTGAGTAGAGTAGAGTAGACTAGAGTAAATAGAGTTGAGTAGTGTAGAGTAGATAGAGTAGAGTAGAGTAGATAGAGTTGAGTAGAGTAAAATAGATAGATTTGAATAGAGTAGAGTAGAGTAGATAGAGTTGAGTAAAGTAGAGTAGATAGAATTGAGTAGAGTTGAGTTGAGTACAGTAGAGTTGAGTAGAGTTGAATAGAGTAGAGTAAAGTAGATAGAGTTGAGTAGAGTAGAGTAGAGTAGAGTTTATTAGAGTAGAGTAGAGTAGATAGAGTTGAGTAGAGTAGAGTACAGTAGATAGAGTTGAGTAGAGTAGAGTAGAGTAAATAGAGTTGAGTAGTGTAGAGTAGATAGAGTAGAGTAGAGTAGAGTAGATAGAGTTGAGTAGAGTAAAATAGATAGATTTGAATAGAGTAGAGTAGAGTAGATAGAGTTGAGTAGAGTAGAGTAGATAGAATTGAGTAGAGTTGAGTTGAGTACAGTAGAGTTGAGTAGAGTTGAATAGAGTAGAGTAAAGTAGATAGAGTTGAGTAGAGTAGAGTAAAGTAGATGGAGTAGAGTAGAGTAGAGTAGAGTAGAGTAGAGTAGAGTAGAGTAGAGTAGAGTAGAGATCTATCAGGTATCAGATAACCTCAGGGCCCCTGCAGCCAGGCCACCCATGTCCCAACACCTGCCTCATTGTGGCAGAACCGGCAGCCACGTGCAGCAGGAGCCCACGTTGCTGCTGGCTCACTTCTGCTTGCTCGTGGCCACAACAGAGCAGGAAGCTGAGTGATGTGTTGGGGCCATGGCCCTGAGAGAAGGCAGGTGTCGAGGCATGGGTGGCCTGGATGTGGGGGACCTGAGGTAAGCTGGTTTGGGGCGCCTGGAGCAGCTCCATCCCCCCCTGCTTTGTGATGACGAGCAAGCAGAAGTTTATATGGAAAAAAGTAAGATACCCTGAAAATAACCCCTGTTAAGGATATACTGGGCTCATAACCAATGTTGTGGGTTATTGAGCAGAGTACCCTTTTAGTTTACACATGAAAGCGACTGAGAATGATTGTGGATAATAAAAGTTAACATACAAACAAACTGGTTTTTTTATTATTATTTTACTTTTAGGGAAAATGCAAAATCATAGTCCAAAAACATTCCAAGTCATTTTTTTTAAAAAAATTGATTTATATGCCGCCCTTCTCCGGAGACTCAGGGCGGCTTACAATGCGCTAAGCAATAGCCTTCATCCTTTTGTATATTTATACAAAGTCAGCTTATTGCCCCCACAATCTGGGTCCTCATTTTACCTACCTTAGAAAGGATGGAAGGCTGAGTCAACCTTGAGCCTGGCAAGATTCGAACTTGCAGTAATTGCAGGCAGCTGGATGATAATAACAGGCTATTAGTCTGCTGCGCCACCAGGCTCATTCACATATAAAGTGAGATAAAGATCAGTCCAGGGATATTTTCATATTTAAAGTCTTCTTACCAGTTGTAGAAAAATACAATAAAACAGATCCTCTTTAGTTTCAATCAGGAACACAGTTCAATATAAAAACAGTCAATAAATATTAAAAAAAACAATAAATAGCCATGATCAAGCAATGATCATGCTGAGAGATCAAATATAGAGTTACAGCATATCAGCAGGTAAAATGGTATAGTGTCCACACAAACCATAATTCAGCTCTCCTTAAGTACATTGGCTACAGAGCTCAGCCAATCAGGAGGCATGATCAGTGGTGGGTTCCTCCCGGTTCAGTCCGGTTCGGCCGAGCCGGTAGCGGTGACAATATGACGTCACCGAACCGGTTCTCCCATCCCCCGCCCTCCCACCCCCCCCACCCCCACATGTTATTCTTACCTTTTATTCGGTCCCACCCCCAATCTATTGCTGCCTCCTGAGTCCCAGCTGATGACTAGAGGGAAAAAAACTGTTTAAACTTTTTTAGTTTTTAATGGTTATTAATTGATTAGTTTTAATTTGTTAATGGGTTTTAATTCGCACTGTTTTAATTCGGGCCAAAGTATATAATTCTTTTAATTAATTTTAAATTTTGTATTGTTATGTATTTTAGTTTTGGCTGTGCACCGCCCTGAGTCCACTAGGAGAAGGGCGGTATATAAATTGAATAAATAAATAAATAAAATAAATAAACTCTTGCCGCGGGGCTTCACAGGGCCGTCCTACAGCTGATCAGTGTTAAAAGCAAACAAATGAGTCGGGTCGTAATTGCGAGGACTGGTCATAAGTGCGAGGACCTTCCAGAAATGACTCTGACCAGCTAGCCACGCCCACCTAGTCACATGACCTCCAAGCCACACCCACAAAATAAGCCACGCCCACAGAACCGGTAGTAAAAAAATTTAGAATCCACCCCGAGCGTGATGATGCAACACAGTTTTTAAAGCTACATAATACTTTTAGCTATAAACACACAATGTTGGTTGATATATTTCTTGACCAACCAGTTGGGCAATAACAATTCCCTAACAACCCCTACTGCTTATTTTGGGGCCCAAAAGAAAATAAGACCCGGTCTTATTTTCGGGAAAACATGGGTGTCTTTCAAAGCTAAATCTAAAGAGCTTCAATGCCCCATCTTTGAGGTTCTCCCAGGTTCAAGCATGGAGGAGGGAGCAGTGGGGGAGGAGGGCCAAATGAGGCCTTACTTGTTATTAAATCATCTTGACAGAAATATTAGACATTCCAGGAATGTAGCGTTGCTGTTTCTGCAGAGCCCCCGGCGGGGAAAGTGACTCGTAAAATGGTTAATAACAGCCTGGAGATCCTCATCTGCCAGGCCTATGGCTTCTACCCCAAGGAGATCCAGGCCACCTGGTGGAGGAAAAGAGAGGTCTGGAAGTACGAGACCCTCCGTAGGAACGTGGCCCCCAACTCAGACGGGACCTATTATGTCTGGCTCAGCACTGAAATCAACCCCAAGGAAAGGAGCCATTTTCGGTGTCACTTGGAGCATAAGGGCTTGCAGAAGCCCCTGGTCTTGGCTTGGAAGGAGGAAACAGGTGAGAGACCAGTGTTCACCAGTGTCGGAAAGAGTGGGGAGGAGAAAGTCTTCTGCTGCACTATCTCAAGTTCTCAGGTGGAGAGCAGCAAATGGGGTGTGCATAAGCACACCAGCGTGCCTACCGTCTCTGTCCTACTGTCCCCATTTATATGTGCTCATTTTATACATCTGTACATCTCCACCCCAGGCCACCCCAATGATGCTCTTGAAGTGATGTCCCAGTGCCTGGAGGCTGTGCAGATCTGGATGGGGAGGAACAGGCTCAAACTCAACCCTTCCAAGACTGAGTGGCTGTGGCTCCCGGCATCCCGATATAGTCAGTTGACCCCATCACTGACTATTGGGGGCGAGTCTTTGGCCCCCACTGAGAGGGCTCGCAATCTGGGAGTCCTCCTGGATATGCAGCTGTCCTTGGAGGAACATCTGACGGCTATAACCAGGGGGACCTTTTGTCAGGTTCGCCTGATTCGCCAGTTGCGGCCCTTTCTCGATCGGGATTCCCTGTGCACAGTCACTCATGCCCTCGTCACCTCTCGCCTTGACTACTGCAACGCTCTCTACATGGGGCTCCCCTTGAAGAGCACCCGGAGGCTCCAACTGGTCCAGAACGCAGCAGCGCGGGTAGTGACGGGAGCAGCATGGCGCTCCCATGTAACACCGCTCCTGCGCGAGCTGCACTGGCTCCCGGTGGTCTTCTGGGTGCGCTTCAAGGTGTTGGTCATCACCTTTAAAGCACTCCATGGCATAGGGCCTAGCTATCTTCGAGACCACCTGCTGCTACCGTCGGCCTCCCATCGTCCCGTGCGCTCCCACAGAGAGGGCCTCCTCGGGGTGCCATCAGCCAATCAATGTAGGCTGGTGACCCCCAGGGGGAGGGCCTTCTCTGTGGGGGCACCTACCCTCTGGAATCAGCTGCCCCCAGAGATAAGGAGAATCCAAGACCTCAGTGCCTTCCGCCGTGCCCTTAAAAACCCACTTTTTCCAGCAAGCTGGGCTGGCTTAAGAAGAAATTTTTAAATGTTTTAATTGGTTTGTGATTTTTAATTTTGGGGCCAAATTTATATATATATTAATTGTTTTTTAATATTTGTATTTCATGTTCTTAATTCTGGCTGTACACTGCCCTGAGTCCTCAGGGAGAAGGGCGGAATATAAATTGGAAATAAAATAAAATAAAATAAAATAAAATATATGTTTATGGCTATGTTTTGCTTATTTTTATCCATTTACGTGTCCATGTTTACGTCTATACCAGGGGTCAGCAACCTGCGGCTTTGGAGCCACATGTGGCTCTTTCATCCCTCTGCTGTGGCTCCTTGTCGCTGGTTGGCTCCACAATTGATAGGGCTTTTGGGTAGGACAGGTAGAGGAAAAAGGATGCCATGCTAGGAGGAGACTCTATGGTGGGGGAAGCGGACTTCCGGTCAGGGGTGAAATGCTCCCGGTTCGGACCGGATCGCCCGATCCGGTAGCGAAGGCAGCGGATGGTTCGGAGAACCGGTAGCAAAAATCCCTCCCCATCCCCCCCCCTCACCATGCCCAGCTGAGCCGCACGATCATCAGAGGCTTTTTTTTTTTACTTTTAAACGCATTTTTTCTACAACCTCTTCCGAAGAAAAAATGCTTTTAAAAGTAAAAAAAAAAAAAAAAAAAGCCTCTGATGATCGTGCGGCTCAGCTGGGATCATTAGAGGCTTTTCAAAGCATTTTTTTCTGCAACCCCTTGGCCGAAGATGTGGTAAAAAAAATGCTTTGAAAAGTCTCTGGCAACTCCCAGCTGAGTTGCCTGATCGGCAGAGAGGTATTTTTTAAAAAAGCCTCTCTAATGATCCCAGCTGAGTTGCCTGATTGGCACATGTTTCCAACCCATATGGTCCTGAGGTGGTGGTGGGTTTTTTTGCCAATTGGGCCTGCTGATGTCGTCAATCCATCTTGTTTTAGATCTCTTTCATGGACGCTTGATATATATGGTACACGGTATATGATGATATATAATACATGACGCGATTGTATTTGTTGGAAACACATGGAAGAGGCTTTCATCCTGCAGTGGATAGACAATGGTTGGTTCTAGAACTAAGGAGAACTTTCCTGACAGTTAGGAGTTAGAAGTTGGTTCTAGAACTAACTGAAGTTGGTTCGAGAACTTTCCTGACAGTTAGGAGTTAGTTAGAGGCTGGTTCTAGAACTAAGAACTTTCCTGACAGTTAGAAGTTGGTTCTAGAACTAAGGAGAACTTTCCTGATAGTTAGGAGTTAGTTAGAGGCTGGTTCTAGAACTAAGAACTTTCCTGACAGTTAGAAGTTGGTTCTAGAACTAAGGAGAACTTTCCTGACAGTTAGGAGTTAGTTAGAGGCTGGTTCTAGAACTAAGAACTTTCCTGACAGTTAGAAGTTGGTTCTAGAACTAAGGAGAACTTTCCTGATAGTTAGGAGTTAGAAGTTGGTTCTAGAACTAACTGAAGTTGGTTCGAGAACTTTCCTGACAGTTAGGAGTTAGTTAGAGGCTGGTTCTAGAACTAAGAACTTTCCTGACAGTTAAAAGTTGGTTCTAGAACTAAGGAAAACTTTCCTGACAGCTAGGAGTTAGTTAGAGGCTGGTTCTAGAACTAAGAACTTTCCTGACAGAAGTTGGTTCTAGAACTAAGGAGTTAGTTAGAGGCTGGTTCTAGAACTAAGAACTTTCCTGACAGTTAGAAGTTGGTTCTAGAACTAAGGAGAACTTTCCTGACAGTTAGGAGTTAGTTAGAGGCTGGTTCTAGAACTAAGAACTTTCCTGACAGAAGTTGGTTCTAGAACTAAGGAGTTAGTTAGAGGCTGGTTCTAGAACTAAGAATTTTCCTGACAGTTAGAAGTTGGTTCTAGAACTAAGGAGTTAGTTAGAGGCTGGTTCTAGAACTAAGAACTTTCCTGACAGTTAGAAGTTGGTTCTAGAACTAAGGAGAACTTTCCTGACAGTTAGGAGTTAGAGAGTTAGCTTCTTTCATGTGGGAGCACAGCCTGGAGGCCGGTGCGGGTTGGGAAATGTTCTCTTGCTGAGTATCTCCCCATCAGGGACCTCAGCCTTTGTCTAATCAGAAGTTCTGAATTTCTCCTCTTTTAGCTACAATGTGGTGGATCCCTGTGGCAATTGTGGCTGCCATAAACGTGGGACTTTGGATTCTCTTCCTGAGATGTGAGTGAAACACCAACCTCTGATGACCACCCCTGTGTCTTTCTGAGCCAATGTGGACTCTTCTCCAGGAATTCCTCTCTCCGGGAAGGACCAGGAGGAGTCTACGTGGAGGAGAATTGCAAACCTTTCTCTTCTTTGGCTGTTTCTTCTTTGACCTGTTGAGGTTGCAGTGGGGGGGAAAGAGAGATCTAAGGGGTGGAGAATAAACACACCTCCCTGATATAAAATTGGGGATGGGGCGGGTTGACTTCTCCATTTTCTCTCCTTGCAGCACAAGGCATCCTATGGCAGCTGGAGGCCCCAGAAGGCTCCGGAAGGCGCTCTGCCAAAAAGACACAGCCAAGAAAGAAAACAGCAGTGCTTCAAAAGGTGGAACTCCTGAACAGGGCAGTTAGAGACTATTCAATCTAACCAGGACTGAATATTAGAATCAGAATGGAGTTGGAAGGGAACTTGGAGGTCTTCTAGTCCAGCCCGCTGCTCAAGCAGGAGATCCTACACCATTTCAGACAAGTGGCTGTCCAGTCGCTTCTTAAAAACCTCCAGTGATGAAGCGCCCACGATGTTTGAACACAAGCTTTCCACTGGTTAATTTTCCTCATTATTAGGATTCCTTAACCTGCAGGTTGCTTCTCTCCTTGATTAGTTTCCCTCCATTGCTTCTTCTCTTGCCTTTTGGTCCTTTGGAAAATAAATTGAGCCCCTCCTCTTTTTGGCAGCCTCTCAAATATTGGAATACTGCTATCATTTTTTCCCCCATCCCCTCTTTTCTCTAGACTGGCCAAACCCAAATCTTGCAACCGTTCTTCATAGGAATTTTTTCTCCAGGCCTTCAATCATCTTAGTTGCTCTTCTTTACATTTTTTCTAAAGTCTCAACGTTTTTTTTTTTTGCAATGTGGTGTCCAAACCTGGATGCAGTATTCCAGGTGTGTTATAAAGGCTGTACTTTATAAAGCTGTATTAATTACTACACGTTATTTTGATTCTAAGTCTCTGTTTATACAACCAAGGATCGTATTAGCTTTTTTAGCCGCTACCACACACTGCTGACTGGCCAAAGCAGGAGTCACAGAGTCTGAAGAGAAGAAACCAGGGTGGCATAGCCCATGGGGAGGTCAGCATCCCTCTTCCAGTCTCCTGGAATCTCAGAAAGTGCAGCATTTGTATTTCTAATGTGGGTAGGTAGGTAGGTAGGTAGCAGATGTGAGTTTCAGCAGGTTCTGACCAGTTCTGGAGAACTGGTAGCGGAAATTTCGAGTAGTTCAGAGAACCGGTAAATACCACCTCTGACTGGCCCCGCCTCCATCTATTCTCTGCCTCCTGAATCCCAGCTGATCGGGAGGAAATGGGGATTTTGCAGTAAACTTCCCCTGGAGTGGGGAGGGAATGGAGATTTTACAGTATCCTTCCCCTGCCATCCCCAAGCCACTCCCACCAAGCCATGCCATGCCCATCAAGCCACGCCTACAGAACTGGTAGTAAAAAAAATTGAATCCCACCACTGGAGATAGATAGATAGATAGATAGATAGATAGATAGATAGATAGATAGATAGATAGATAGATAGACAGACAGACAGACAGACAGATAGATAGAGCCAGATTCCCTTTTCCTTCTTAGTCTCAGTCAGAGAAATTAACGAAGGTGCTAACTAGGCTATCTCTAGATTTTTTAAAAAATGAAACTCCTCAACAAGGTATACAAATTGTTATTGAAATTCAGTCAAAAACATGAATAGTTCTGCTAGTTGGCTTGAGGTTACAATGGGGGAATTTCACACTAGAGGTGGTTGATGGACTCCCCTCCCATATATTCTCATCCTTTCCTCCCCCCCACTTTGGTGATAACTTGCATCTTATTGCAATTGTAATGTGATTTTATACATTTCTATATATATATTTATGGTTTCATTTTAATGATGTGAGCCGCCCAGAGTTGCCTTGCGACAACTCTGGACGGCAGAGAAACTTAATAAATGGGTAAAAAATAAAATTAAGGATTACTTATTTGTTAAATTTACATTTAGCTCTCGACTTATGATGTCAATTTTTTTTCTAAAATAAAAATAATGAAATTTTGATTTGGGGATTTGATGATTAGCTATGTTTTGATTATACACTGCTCAAAAAAATAAAGGGAACACAAGCAGAAGACATCCGAGATCTGAATGAATGAAATAGCCTTATTAAATACTTTGTTCGTTACATACAGTAGTTTTGGGTTCCCTTTAGTTGTTTGAGCAGTGTATAAACTACTGTATGTAAAGAACAAAGTATTTAATAAGGCTATTTCATTCATTCAGATCTCGAATGTCTTCTGCTTGTGTTCCCTTTATTTTTTTGAGCAGTATATATTGTACAATGTGCATTATTGGAGTTTAATACATTTTATTTTAGGTTCTAGGGTATTTGTTTAAAGTGCAGGATGTTTTATTATAAATAGCTGACCATAGAAATATCTAGTAATATTAGGTGTATTTGTGTTGATGTTATAATGCATTTATGGGTTATGCATTTTGTTTAGACTAAGAGACTATGATATTATATATTATGATTTAATTGTGTATATCTGTATCTTTTATATTTTTATATTTTAGTTTTGTGTCTGTTAAAACAAGTGCATACTAAAAAAAGTACAAGAATTTTGTAATTGTATCTATCTCCAAAAAAGTTGTAAGTTTTTTTTCTGTTCTTTTTCACGACGTTTTAAAAGTTATTTTAAAATTTGTCCCTGTTGTTTCCGTACGCCACTTTTCTCTTTTTGTTGTATTTTTGTATGTTAACTGGGTTTGGGTTTTTTTTGAAACTTAATAAAATTCTTTTTTTTAATTCATGTTTTGTAAATTTAAAAGCTATTTTAGAACAGCTGTAGAAATACTATTTGAAAGAAAGGTGAGGATCCTTGTACAAATGAAGAAGCAATCAGCTAACAAAATTCCTAAGGAAATGCTACTGTTGGCTACCATTACATCAGAGGTGGGTTTCAGCAGGTTCTGACCAATTCTGGAGAACCGGTAGCGGAAATTTTGAGTAGTTCAGAGAAAAAGTAAAAATAGTAGTAAAAAAAGTAATAAAAAAAGTAGTAAAAATTCTGACTGGCCCTGCCCCCATCTATTCTCTGCCTCCCAAGTCCCAGCTGATTGGGAGGAAATGGGGATTTTGCAGTAACCTTGCCCTGGAGTGGGGAGGGAATGGAGATTTACAGTATCCTTCCCCTGCTACATCCACCAAACCATGCCACGCCCACCAAGCCACGCCCACAGAACCGGTAGTAAAAATTTTTGAATCCCACCACTGCATTATACACATCTAAAAAGATCAGTCAAGTATGAAACTAATTGGTGTTCACTGGGGAAGCAAACCAAAAGTACACATAAACTGGGTGAAACCCGGCTTAATAGCAGTGACTGTGAGAGGGATCTTGGAGTCTTAGTGGACAACCAGCTAAATATCAGCCAGCCGTGTGCAGCGGCAGCCAAAAAAGCCAATGCAATCCTAAATTGCATTAGCAGAGGGATACAATCAAGATCAAAGGAGATACTAATACCACTCTATAAAGCCTTAGTAAGACCACACTTAGAATACTACATCTAGTTTTGATCACCATGCTACAAAAAAGATATTTAGATTCTAGAAAGAGTTCAGAGAAGACCAACAAACATGATTAGGGGCCTGGAGGCTAAAACATATGAAGAATGGTTACAGGAACTGGGAATGGCTAGACTAATGAAGAGAAGGACCACGAGTGAGGGGCTGCCACAGAGAGGAAGGGGTCAAGCTGTTTTCCAAGGCACCTGAAGGCCAGACAAG